TTTTCATAACATATACCTTATATTTCTATGACAACTATTACAACTAATGCTATATAGTTATAAGAAATTTAACAAAAAAACATAATTTTATACATTTAATTATCTATATGTGTCTTAAATGTCTTATTATTAACTATTTTCAAAAGTACAACTATAAAAATGTAATTTCTAGTACGATATAACTAATAAAATCGTTTTATCTATGAAAGTACAACTCTGTGTAATAAAAAAAAATAGAGTACAACTTACCTACTTGGGTACAACTTTGTATATTATTTGACGGCGCGAAAAAAGTAATTAATTATTTTTATAATTATTTTGCTGGCGCTCGTGTAATTTGACGGCGCTCGTGTAATTTGACGGCGCTCGTGTAATTTGACGGCGCACATGTGGTTTTTGGGCCTGAAAAATTCCTTTTGTTCTAGTTTCAACAACACTAGTTGTACGCAATAATACCAGTTGTACTAAAAAATCTGAAAACATAATTTAATTAAAACAATAAACCTCCTAGTAGTTTTAACTAAAACCTGTTTCACCAAACATAAAAAACCTCCTACTAGTTTCAACCTAAACCATCTACAAGTTTCACCAAAAACCAATAACTAGTTTCAACAAAAACAAAAAAAAACTTGTTTCTTCTACTTCTTTTTTTCAGCCTCTCGTTTCTTCCTTTCTCCTGGTGCATCATTTTTGTAAGGAGTGGATATATGCCTCGATGGTTTACCCTTTCTCCTATTCCTAATGAGCTCTGCCGTCCTTTTAGCCTCAGCACTCTTCCGCATACATATTTTGTAGCGTGGTTTCTTTGCTGGTGGTTTAGGAGTCTCCGCAGGTACAGGTGTAGGTGCGTTTGTGGTCTCCACTGCAGGTGCAGGTACGTCTGTGGTCTCCTCCGCAGGTATAGGTGCAGGTGCGTCCCTGGTCTCCTCCGCAGGTACAGGTGCAGGTGCGTCCCTGGTCTCCTCCGCAGGTACAGGTGCAGGTGCAGGTGCGTCCCTAGTCTCCTCTGCAGGTGTCTTCTCCATACCCTTATCACCTACATTGCAAAATAATTTTGTTTTTGAACATACACTTATGAGCGAGGAAAGAAATAAATATCTTTTTTTACCTCTTGCATTTGATCCTCCACCTGTTTCATACACTCTCCCCACATCTTCATACTGAAAATCCATAAAATCTGAATCTCTCCTTTGATCAGCTATTTTCATTTCTACAGACTTCAGTCTTGTGTCCATCTCATGAACCTTCTCATTAATCTTCCTAAACCCTTCTTCCATTTTCTCGTTAATCTTTATAAACCCTTCTTCCATCTTCTTCAACACATCCTCACTTCCTACCGCTTCAGTATCTGTCGGTTTGGGCAATGGCTGGTCTTCTCGGGATTTAACATCTAATAGGTACAGATCCTTCAAGTGTATCTTCTTCTTTTGTTGGACTAAAATCGTGTGCCAACTATCAACAACAGGGTCAAAAACAGCATCATCCTCTCCTACTTCGAAGTCATCCCATACATGCTCGTCTAGGATGTCAAGCAAGAGTTTGGCTTCTCCATCTTCAGGTACCAAGATACTGATAATATCCTGTTTAACGAAAAACAAAAATTAAATTAAACTAAATCTCTAATAATGTATAAATATAAAATGAAAGGAGACTCCTAAACCTTTGTATCTCCAAGCACTTCATAAATATCAGCTAAAGAAAATCCTGTTTTGCCTGTTCTCTTAAACTTCCACTTGCACATTTTTGGACAATCACCATCTGCATTCCCAACTTTTTCTTGAAATGCTGCTTTTAGAACCGGGATAGATTCAAACGCCAAAATCTGCACATATAATCGTACTAGTTATGCCAGTTCTACCAATAATACCAGTTCAACTAGTTGTACCCGAAACACGAGTTGTACCAATACTACTACCTATACACTATATCAAGTTGAACCAAGAATACTAGTTGTACTAATACTACGATTTTTAGTTGTACAAGTTATACTGAATTTAAAACATATAACATTACCTCTAAAGGCAATATGAACCCCGGAAAAGTCCAATTCCCTCGAACAGATCCTCCAAAATGATCCACCAGATGTGCAACCTCAGCTAAGACGTCATCAAAAGTGAAACGACCCCAGGGAAACGTTTCACACAGATCCAGATCATCCACCACTCGGAGAATGAATGGGTCTATGGATCCACCATATTTCTTGGACTTTCCTTTGATGACAGTTGCTAAGAAGAAAAGTACAACCATCTTCAACCGATCAGTACAACCTTCAATGAAATCCATTGATTCCAGCTTCTCACGCACCTCTTTGACCTCAATATTGGTCTTTCCAAACTGCTCCTCCACAAAATACATACTCCCTAACTGCTCATAGTCGGCTGGATAATGGTGGCAGAATAATCCTGAAAGAAGGCCGTGTTCTCTGATTGAATACCGAACAGGCACACCATTCACAACAAACCAACACTGCCGCTGCTTGTCTGTCACTGCTGTTCGGAGAAGCAACATCCACATTCCCATTAACATTCTATTCTTCTGGATAAACATGTGGACAATATGCTTGAATTGTGGGTGGTTCTCAAACCAGTTTCTCTCTGAGATATCAAGCCTCTTGAAGACTTCCATGAAATTAAAGGTTTCACACCTTGATTAAAGCTTCGGGTATAACCGATACTCGCTTTGCTTGAAGAATAAACCTCGAGGTTCCATCGGTATTGAGACGTCCTCTTGCTGCAATCAAAACGCATAGGATAAGTGAATATAAGTGTATTGGTACAACTAGTATTCTTGTTACAACCAAAACCAAAAAAATAAGTTGTACGCGATAATTCCAGTTGTACTAAACTACATTTCGTTCAACCACAAGCAAAAATCAGTTGTACGCGATAATTCCAGTTGTACTAAACTACATTTCGTTCAACCACAAGCAAATATCAGTTGTACGCGATAATTCCAGTTGTACTAAACTACATTTCGTTCAACCACAAGCACAAAATCAGCTGTACGCGATAATTCCAGTTGTACTAACCGGTAGACCACAAGCAAAACTCAATTGTACACGATAATTCTAGTTGTACTAAACTACATACCGGTTGTAATGGATCAACATTTGAGTTTGAACCCAATCCTTCTTCTGATGCAGTAGCATACTCAGCCTCAGATCTCTCTGGTTGAGAAGGTGAACCCCTAGTCGACATCCTCCAAAAATTCTGAAACAAAAAATCAGAAATCAGTTGGGGTTTAGGGTTGAGGGAAGAAAATCATAAATTCATGTTTTAATTACTCTTAAGCCTAGAAGATACCTGTTCGGGCGATGACGGAAGTGTGAAACGGCGGTGGTGGCAAGCCTAAAACGGCGACGGCGACGACCCTAAATCTGAAGGGTGAAGAGTGGAGAGTGAGTGCGAGTGAGTGGCGGTGAGAGAAGAGTGTGGGGATTTAATCGAAGAGGAAGAAGATGATGGAAGAAGACGATTATGATGGAAGAAGATGATGAATCGAAGAGTCCGAAAATGATGGAGTATGGAGATAATGGAATCGATCGAAGAGGGGAGACGAAGGAGGCGGGAATAGATCCGATTTTTAGGGGGTAGGGTTTAGGTTTAGGTTTGCTTTCTGGTTTAATTAAATTGGTTGGTTTAAAGGTTGGTTTAAAATAATTAAATTGGTTTATTTTAATCATTTCGGTTAATTAAATTGGATCTGGTTTGAGTCCGGTTGGATATGTAATTTGGTTATTCATTAATGGTTTTTTGGTCTTTTTATACCCTTTTGTATTAAAAAGAAAATCAAAAACAAAATATAGAGATAGAAAGAGTATATGAGAATTTCTTATAAGGGAAAGGAGTATGTGAGGTTAAGCTCCAAAAATTGGCCTAGCATGTATGGTCTCCACTAAAAACAATTAGAACATATATGTATTTTCAAATTTCATCATCGTAATCAAACCTATAATATTTCTGTGTAGTTCTGCAATCGATGAACTGAAAGAGTTTCAGCATGTTTCTGGAAAAGAATTACACATCCAATGTGTCTTTTTATAATTTTTTGTGCAACATATTCATTGTGTCTTAAAGTTAACTGTTTGTTCTATATTTTTGAGCAAAAAAAAATATTCAAATATTGGTGCGTTTTTGGCCAAAATTTTAAAGTGAAGGATATTTTTTTAAAAAGTATTCCCAAAAAAATGTGCCACGTCATTACTGGTAAAACGCTGCGTTCTTTATCACCATGTCGATTCCTCTCAAACCAAGGCAAGCACGCTTCTTCTTCTCCGATCCTCTCTGTTACATCCGTAGTCCTTGCCTCTTCTGGTTTTCTTCCCAATCGTAAGTTTACTACATATCCCTCTATTTTCGACCTCAACGACATCGTTTTGAATTACTCTGGCCTGTTATAGGTTCTGAGGAATCACATTTGATCCCTTTCCTTAAATTTGTTGATATCCTTGTCTGGGTATTTTCCCTTTTGGGATTGAGACGAAAAATATTCTAACTTGTGTGACCTAACTCGAATTTCTCGTTGGATATTAGGTACAACTAAAAACCCTAATCATCTATGTCTCCGCAAAGAGTCTCCATGGGTTCTAGAGATTTAATTAGCAGCCTACCAGATGAGGTTCTCGGCAAAATCATGTCTTTGCTTCCGACAAAGCTTGCTGCTTCCACATCGGTTCTGTCCAAGAGGTGGAGGAATCTGCTTCCGCTTGTGGACAGCCTTGATTTCAATGACGCAAGTGGTGATCCTCGTGGCTTCTCTGATTTCGTGGACAAAACACTCGCTCTCTTAAGCAGCTCTTCAATCGTCAAGAGATTCTCTCTCAAATGTCAACATAAGCATGAAAAATCTCGAGTGGACAGCTGGATTCGCACTGTCCTGGAGCGTGGCTTATTGGAACTTCACTTGGAGACGGTATGTATGCATTGTCTAGTAACCGAGTTCTTCACGAGCAACACACTGGTTAGGCTCACATTAGCCAATGGGTTTTATCCTGATGTTGTTCTTCCTCCTGGGGGAGTGTTTTTCCCAGCGCTAAAAACACTTTCTCTCTCAGTTTGGTTTGTGTATAGCGAAAACTCCGTGAAGATATATTATGAGATGTATGCGTTTCTCATCTCTGGCTGCCCTGCGCTTGAGGAATTAGTCATACGTTATAGTGATTTCTCGTCTTGGAATTACATGGCGTCGTGTCCTTCCATTCCTGTGTCAAGTCCTTCCATTAAGCGGCTAACCATCTCTTACCATTTTCCGGGTGATGTTTCCGATACTGACTGGTTTCGGACACCCGATACTGAGTGGTTTCGGACACCAAGTCTTGTGTATCTTGACTATTCTGGTTATGTCACGGGACAGTATGTTGTTGATTTAGGCTCGCTTGTGGAAGCTAGACTGGATATTCGATCATGTTGGGAGCGAAAGTTAATTGTGGATGGTGATGATGGTATTGATGATGATAGTAATGGTGGTGAGGATGATAAGACAGAAGATGACAATGACAGTGGTTGTGATGAGGATGATGGAAGTAGTTATGTACAGGAGGTTGGCTGTGGTGAAAATGATGATGATGATGATGATGATGGTGTTTTTGGTGAGGATTATGATACAGAGGAAAGTGATGCAGAGGATTTGGGTAATGTTACGGATCTGGTTGCAGGGATAAACAACATTAAAACTCTTCACTTGTCTCCTACTTCTCTTGAGGTCAGTTTAACCACTTGTTTTTTTATTATTTCAGTTTGAATTGCATAATGAAATCTAATGCTAGCTAGTAAAGTCTCAGTTTCTATATGTTATATAATTGTTTTGGCTTTGATGATCAATCAGGTATTTCACTTTTTCTGTAAATCAATGCCGGTCTTTCAAAACCTCCTAACTTTATCTTTTGAGAGTGACAAAAAAAGAGGCTGGCAAGTGGTGCCACTTCTCCTCAACAACTCTCCAAACCTTGAAACTTTAGTCATCAAGGTAAATACCTATTTCGGTTGATACGCACACACATACTTTATTCGTTTGATTGCTAGATTATTGTACATGAATTTTGCCTGCGTCGCTATGCTTTTCAGGGTCTTGTGCACCAAGTTACAGATAGATGCGGGGTCGCCTGTGTTTGCATCCCTCAGAAGAAGAGGAAGAAGAGGTTCCAGGAGGAAGTATGCTGTTTATCGACATGTCAAGTGAAGGTTCTAAAGATTTCAGGGTATGGAGGAACTCGTAGAGAACGGAAACAGATGAGGCACTTCTTGGGAAATTTGAAATGTCTCGAAACTGTCAAGGTTGGTGTTGAAGCTGAGATTCACCGAGAAGACAACAGTGTCAATAACAAGTACCAGAGAATCACCAATGCTCTTATGAGGCTTCCTAGAGTTTCATCAAAATGTCAAATCCATTTCTTCTGATATCTCTCTTTGAAACCGAATCATTAACAGGCGAAATGTTCTTTTAGGAGATGATCTTGTTTTTTTCCTGCTATGGATAATTTAAAACCAAACTCATTTGCTAATTATTTCAGTTTCACAGACGAGTTAAAAAGAAGTTGATATGAACTCATGTTGAGGACGAACACACTATCATGCTTCAATAGTAAAATCAATCAAAACCAAACACGAAACAAATGAAACTGTACTCAAAAGTTTACATCAAATTCATCCTCAGAACATCACAAGGTTTGAAGAACACTGCACAACGAAAACTTCGAGTAATAACCTCGCCAAAAAGTAAAACACAACGCCTAGCATGATCGACACAGGAAGAGCCGGTAAAGCCTTCTGATACACAGACAGAAGCATCAACGTGACACCTAAACCGGCAATGATCGCCAAGTAACATGCGTAAACCGTCATCAAATCATACATCGCAGCTCTTCCAACCAAAACACTATAGAAGATGAAATCCCCAAGTCCTAACTTGATAGCACCTGATGATCCCAACCCAATTCCTTCAAGAAAAGTCTCTGAATTCTCAGCTTGATCAGGTCTACTACGATCAATCAATGGCACAGATATCTCTGATCTCTCACTCGAACCCACATGTTCTTCTTCTTCTGCTTCTGCTCTAACTACTCTTACTACTTCGTCTCGACTAGTGTTCTCAATATCATTGGAACCATTCTGGTTAGATCTCCGTTCTCTCCAAACTCTCCTCTGAACCAAACGTGAGTCATTTCGGATCACAGGTCTTGCTTCGTAGACCAAAGCTGGGATATCTTCGTCTCTCGATATAGCCATTTCCACAAGGAGACGTAATGGACCAACAGGTAAAAGAACAGCAGCAATGTCGTAGAGTGCCAAAGCAACGAGAAGGACCCAAGTTGTCCATTCAGGTAATAGCGTGAAGAAGTAAGCGACTAAGACCCCGATCACAACTAAGTAACCTTGAGTGATCAAAATCGAGAATTTCGACATGAACACGGCGAATACACCGACGACGGAGAGATTGAAGAGAAGGATGAGGAAAGTGATGGAATCTATTGGGAATCTGAAACGATCAATGAGCAAGACTAAGATTTCTCCACCTAAGTTCCCTAAAACGATGAAAGCTGAGAAACCCATGTAGAATTTAAGGAAACTAACGCATCTGAGGTAGAAGAGAAGCACGAGGACGAACGTTGCGACAGTGATCGCAGCGACGAAAACGAGGGAGTTCAAGGCGGCGCCTACGAATTTGTCCCAGGAGGAATCGGAATCGCTCTCGGCGTAAGCTGCGGTGGCTATGGAGGAGAAAGAGGCGGAGGAGGAAGATGGGTCGGAGTTTAGGACACAGACGAGAAGAACGACGGTGAACATACATATCGAGACAGGCGTGAGGATTCCGATGAGTTCTTCACCTAATGAATCCAGGATGCTTCTGGGTCTTTGGTTTCGATCCATTTTGGGTAAGATTTCAGTTCTCGCCGGTCAAATTCGATGATGAAGCTGAAGGATCAAGAAGCAAAGGACGAACCTTTTTCAGATTCCGATGATTTTTCAGAGCATATTTCAAGTCACTCCCCAATACGTCATCCTTTTGGCTGCAGTATTATGAAAGGTATTTGTGTGGTATAATCATATAAGGCATAGATGGATAACAAGTTTATTGTTATAGTTATTTGTGTTGTAAAAATTAAAACATATACTTTCTGTAATTCCAGAAATTAGCTTTGGATGTAGCTGTAATGGAACCACAAAATGTAGATAATTTTTCTCTAAACACTGTACTAAAGCAGAAACAATCATTTCTTAACAATTGGTAACTAGACGATCAAGAGATTACATTATTGGTTCAATTTCCTCGATAATATTTAGGTGTCTCTTTATTTGATGTTATGATTTGTAACAAACAAGCGTCAACTTATATCAGGAAGGTCATTGCACTACACAGACGCACTACAGTTACATTTGGTAAAATCCTAAAAAATATCTTGCTCCAAAGATCTTACCGTTGTTGTATGTGAGGTCTTTTTTAGAAAAGATGGAGAGACATTTTGAGTTTGTTCTGTTTCCATTTTGCAAGTGCATAGAACTCTGATTTTGTCATTTTAAATCTTTCTTCGAACTCTTTATCTGTTAGGTACGCCTGAAAGACAAAATTGAATATTGCATTATAGGTCGTAAGTTATATACATAGTTAGATCTAAATTACTATATGGAACTGCAGGATTACCTCTCTTCTTGTTGCATCTATATCTGTCACTGGCTCCTTAGAATCAACTCTAAGCTGTTCGTATGAATATGCAAGTGACTCTAGACTAGGATCGAGATTGATTCCTCCGAGTGTATTCTCTTTGGAGATGTCTGAACTGGAGCTCGCCGACCCTGCATCAGAAATCAGTGCTTTGATATGAGATTTCGAGAATCAAAGAACTTAATTGCAATTACAACAGTATTGAGAAAAATTGAAATATTTGTTGCTGCTACCCTGCATCATCCAAAGACTGTTACATTCTTCTGATACTTATGAGTTTATAAAGCCAAGAGTTTCAGCGAAATGGTGGAAATATGAAACCTTACCATTACTAGTATCCACTGAAAGAGATTCTGAGAAAAGCTTTTTGACAACTGGAGTGGAGTTTCTGCTGCTTTTTCTGTCTTCTGCAGAGATCAAACTTGAAACCTTTTCGATTGAGCAAGGTGATACTCCTCGCTCTGATCCGTTTGAGCTCACAGATCGGCTTCGTGAATCACGAGATGCGTTCTCCTTCGAGTGTGATCTCCACGGGCTTCCACTAGATCTCTGAAAGCACAAACATTGTAGCTACTTAAAACAGACATAGCCTCATTTCGCATTCCCAAGTTTACGTATTCCACAACTAAGTTATTTTACAAATGAGACTTACCATAGTGCTTGGCTTCTTTCCTTTCAGACTAGCAAGCTTCCTTTCAAATGAATTACCGTGCATCTGCAATGTTCCAATGCAGATTATTAGTGGAAGTATACAAAACCCCAAAACTTTTACATTCAGTAGACTACTATAAAAACATTTTGGGATCTCCCAACGCTCTGTTTGAGGTGACTTCAACATGGAAAGAGATGCCTTACGTTTGCCTTTTCAGGAACCCACTCAAAGAAACGGGTAAAAAATGGTGGCTCGTGGCCTTCTGTGACAACATATAGAGGAGTCATTACGGTTAAGCCTTCCTCCAGAATGTCCATCTCAAGGAATTTCTGCATCTCACAAATAGAATGGACTAAGAAACACAAAAAAAGGAATAGTCTAATTATTTGTTTGAAGTCATGGCTTTATGCGAGCAGGAAAGAGTAGCCCAAGAAAATGAAATAACCAAAGCATGTGATTGTTTTGATGTCTGTGAAGAAGTTCCACCAAAAAACAGCAAACGTAGCACTTGGAAGGCCAAATAAAGAGGAAAAATTACCAGACCAAGAGTAAGAGCTTGTTGCTTCGACTTTATGTTTGAGTTTAATCCAATCCAAACATATACTTCACTTTGGCAGTCAAGCAGTAATACATCTTCGGTAGTTAAATCGTCTTGCACAAAATTGTATATTTCTTTTACCTGAACGTCATGCAGATATAGCATTAATACACACATGATTGTATCAGATAAGAGTATTCCGAGAGCTGATCTGTAATCATTTCAAATATAGCATTAATACACGCATGATTCGTACCTTGAGTACATCTAAACAGAAGTGGCAAATCAGTCATGGACCACTCTTGCGTTAGGCATAATAAAAGTGTTTAGAGCTGAACAATGGCAGAACCAAACAATAATGTAAGATGACAAAAAGCAAAAGGAAAGATATTTACTGTTACCTGAGCTCCAGGAACATGTTAATAAACGTGGTTCCTCTATTTGTTTTCTCATTTCCTTTTCTTTTGGGTACTCTGCCTTACCACCAAGAAAATCCCAAAATGTGTCTGGTTCATTTCCTTCCCTCATGGATATGGGTTGCCAAGACGACTGCGCATGGAAACGAAGAAACAGACTTGTTACGTCATATAAACCGGAACACATGTATGTCATGACCTTACTAAACAGTAGCTAAGAGCTAATGCTACTTACATCAAGGAAATAAAGCATTCTGTCAAGAACATCATGATCAGAGACTGACGAAAGGTTCCCAATCCAAGTGAAGATAGAAGCTTCATTGTGTAATATATAACAGTAGGATGAGTTCAAGGAGGCCGCTGCCTGCAGTGGACGATTTTTATTTGCTTAACAATAAGTCTAGGACCAAAGACATATTACTAAATTGTAATTTTGACAAATCAGAACTGCAGAGAGTACTGAAAGAACCCACTAGATTAACTTGGATTGCTTGCATGTTCCTTGGGCTTGTCCCTTGAACACGGAAAAGAGAAGCCTTGCTCTCATTAGATATTTCAACTTTGTTTGCATTCTCTACTAGAAACATTTTGTACCGTCTACTCAAACCGCCCTGGAAAAAGTAACGATCGGTAATTGAAGGTAGTAGTACAGTCACTTATCAATGAATCTAAGGTTCTATATGTTCATGAGAGTATTACTAACTGACCTTAAAAACAGCTAGTGACTGAAATATTGAGAAAAAGCGAGCAGGTTCGTTTCCCTGATGTATATGAAACTGGATGAAGAGTGTCGAATGAAACAGGTCAGCTGGTTTACAGTGTGAATATTTTGAAATCTGGTTAGGAACTAACCATTACAGATTCACCCTTGGTCGAAGCAGCAATGGCACTAGCATTGGATATGGCATCAGATCTATCTTGCTGCCAAAAAAAAAGAACAGAATGAAGCTTATAGAGGAACAACTCACAAATGACTGACAGTAAAAACTACAGGTATAGGCTACAGCTTGCGTACCTGCATGCTTTCACAACCGATCCATACATATAATAGATGTTCGTTTCTTTCATTGTAAGTATAATTATACTGCAAAATATAGCAATCTCCGCTGAATAGCTTCGTCTGGTCAGGAATGGAGAGAAGCGAGACCTCATCACCATCTACACGCCAAACCTGAAATTAGTTTAAAATCTCATTCATCAGGCTTATTCTCAGAGATGTTTATGACAGTTTGGTCACTTGTATTAGATATGAAGTATACCTTCAGGGCGCCTCGGCAATTTGTATAGAGAGGTTCATCCTCTTCATCAGGGAGCTCCGCAACATCATATCCCTTCCGTTTGAACATTGCTGCATGAGAGTGTTTAGATTTTTATTTTAGTATCTGATATATGTAGTTTTCATAAACAACTCCCTTTTTGTTGTCCTCTTTACAGAACCAGAGAAATATAAAACAGACCTGCCATTTTCTCTCGACCTTCATTGTAAAGGCTAGACTCTGCTATCTGAGGCCACTTATAAAAAAATGACCTGAATCTAGAATTTTCTAGTCCTTCCGTTAGAAGTACTAGACTTGTGCTAGTCGAGCGTCCCTCCTTTCGTAAAAATTCCTAGAGCACAACAACATGCCAAACCATTTTTTAGGAATGACCTCTCAGATGCTCTGGCAGAAACTACAAGAAACACATTCCAACTTTCCAAGCGACATCTTTAAAGTCATGCACAATAGTGTGAGACTAATAAATTGGTGCCAAAAGCGAAAAGTGTTCCCATATCAATCATCTTATATTTACCAACAATTACTTACTTCTGAGGAAGAGATGGATGTCTTCCTTTCTGTGAGTGATGTGTTTCTTCCCATCCAAACAAAAACTTCGCTGTCACAATCCAGCATGTAGCATTTGTTCTTCTCAAGCATATCTTTTTTCAAAGAACATGTTCCAGTTGGATGTAGATTTCCCCGAGTATCTATCCTGTTTGATGGAAGATCTTTAAATGATTAATGATGGTCTGTCTTTGAAACAGCTCCTTAAAGCACATGCATTTCGGGTAGGGACATATGTTGAACAAAAGCAGGGACATATATCTCACCAGTACATTTTTGCACATGTACTTAGAGTCTGTTCATGATCAGTAGAAGATGAAAACTTGGGAATGGGAGCATAACCACCTAAGAAAGACCAGAATTCACCAGCATCTGAGTCCCCTGAAAATTTTCCATCCTCTACAGTAAACAGCATTGATTAGCTGTTGCTTTACTTTCAAACCTCTATTCCAAAACAAAAAGAGTTGTTCAGAAGAGAAACATCTAACCAATAGTCGCGACCTGACATCTTCCGGCATGCTTGTTATCCTTTATGTATTCCACAACCTCCAGGGCTTTAGCTCTTTCCTGAGTGCTTGAGTTACAACCGGCAAAGAGGAAAACTTTTGATGCAGTATCGAGAACGAATACATCATCATGGTTCAGTGATGACCGGAGAAAAGGCACCTTGTGTAGTTGTGTAGATTAAACATGAAAGAAATATCAATCATACTCAGAGTGAAAAATGTACAATAAACTAAATATGACTATAATATATTGAACTATTGAAGCACTAGATTTGAAAAAAAATTATAGGGAATCTTATTTTCAAGCCCGCATCTTTATCCAAGCATAAAAACATGTCAAGCCTCATATCAGTTTTTCACCGGGCAGTGCCCTAAAACATTACTGTCGAAACACGCCTTACCTCTTTAACACGAACAGCATGGTCTCCTTTGCACATTAGTAAGGTGATATGGTATGTCTCGCCAGCCAATCCATTTTGTGGTGAATACTTCCCTTGAACAGGTATAATACAAGGTTTGAAGTATGAGAGAAACTTCTCTGTCTCTTGACCTTGAACTTCACGGTATTGCACCGTACAACATCCAAGTGCTGCATCTAACTCTAGTGCTTTGTCAGATGCCAGAGTTGAGTCCACCTTCAAAACACCAGATTTTAGTTGGCACATACAACGTAACACCATTAAAAAAGTTGTCAAGAAAATGTGAGGATGACTTTCAGAAAGAATCAACACCTCATTTGCATCACTTCCCAGCCAATAGTGAATGTCATACTGTGGAGATCCGATCTTGCGCAAAGCCGTCTACACATCACGGCATATAAAATCATAAGAATTTAAGTATTATTAGGCACACTACACTTCAAAATTTCATCATATGTTACTCACAGCTAGAAACTAAAGTCCGAGATACAACAACTTACGCTGAGAATAAGGTATGCATTTCCAGAGTGGAATCTTCCGAAAGAAGACTTGGGGATAGATATAAGCTGATTATTATCATAGATGCACCAAATCTCCAAGCCACTAACGAAGAGATGATTTAAGCATAAGAGTAAAAAAAAACATTAACTTCATGGATTCTCATAAAAAACAAGCCTACCCTTTAGTTCCAACACCTTGAAACGCTGAATCAATGTCTTTACTTAGCCTAGACATTTTGTTATCATCGTCGTAAAAAATCAATCAATCTGCAAAATCATAAACCAAAGAGGAGATAAAACATCAATGACCAAACAAAAACAATGTTGTTCCAAGAGATCGCGTTGCATTTGCGTTTTAATGTTCCTGAATACGAACGCAACCTACTCTAACCAAACAATTTTTATCAATTAATTTCCCAAATTTCAAAATAATAAATCTCAAATACGCCGAAGAAGATTCGAAAAGGATCTTAAGACAGTTCAAATCATAGAAATGGAGGGAGAAACCCCAGAATGAACATCAGAAACAAAAGCAACGCCCAAATCTCTAAGCAATCGGAAACAACAAAAGTGAAATTTGAATCGAAACGTAAAAGCAAATAAAGTAGGACTTAAGATAAACATTAATTACTCGCATCAGTTGAGAAATTGGGGATAATAATTTGTTAAATGAATACTTACAGAGATCAGAGCAGAGGAAGAAGGAGAAGAAGATGATGGACATAAAAAAAAAAGGTGACGAGTGAGAAATTAGTCTCGAGTTTCAAAAGCTGAAAGGAAGCGGCCAAACAGATGAAGAAATAATTATATGCCTTTTTGAGCTGCAACAACACTGAGACACCAATGTGGGCCCACCAAGATGTTCCAATTCAAAGAAGAAATAAAAACGCGCCTTTTTGGTTTTTATTTTCCCTACTCTAATTTTGCGAACCGTTTATATTTTTCTTTAGATGTTGAATTTTTAATTGGCTAAATTAAAACTTTTTATATTAATGTGTTGCCTATAAACAAAATATTATTTTCAAAGTCAAGATTTATATATCCATAATTGCAGTGGAAAAAAGATAGTCATAACAAATTTAGGGAGAAAATGAATGCTATTGACTATTTTCAGAGTTTTGTTCTCAATAATAATAATAATAGAATTTAGTAAAATATTTCGAAATTGATGCTATTTATTCACCAAAACACCAATGGTATAGTCAAAGCCATAAAATAATGTTTCCATTTTGAATTCTCTTTCATAATTCTTAAGTGTAAACCTCCTAATCATAAATTTTGGAAACAGTGAAATAAACCAACAACCAATCTTCAAAATCCAAGATGGAAGAACATACCAGGATCAAAGATTGAAAATGGTTTTCAACATTTCGAAATTGACTGATGATGGTTCTATAATGGTGCTGCAGTATCCTGGGATTTAATCAACTATCAAATACTGAAAATGATTAGAGAGAAAGTGACAAATTTTACCTCTACATCTCCACATGATACAGAGAGGAAGTCCATATCACTACAATGATGATCTTGACATGATTGTAATACACAAGGTGGAACAAATACAAAATTTTTGACTTCTTGAAAATGTGAAAATGTTCACCAAAAATCGTTACAAGAACACTGACCATTTCTAAAATGGTGAAACCGATACCGGTCCCTCACTATTATCTCTCTATCATAGACCTGAGATATTAGCTTAGCAACTGAATGACAATCTCCACACACCCTTAGATTCTTAATAACCCGAATCACCTTTGGAGCTTCTGTTGATATCAGTCCATAACAAATCGCCAGCTTCTCACTGTGCAGATTCAGAGATTGCTCCTTCGTTTCTTCTTCGTCGATGAGCTGCAGAACCTGAGACATCTCTGGCTCATAGCCACTCGATTTCAATCTCTCCATAACCTCGTTTAACTTCCCGTACACCTTATCAGCCATCGGATGCTCGTTGTCTCCGGATAGAAACTCATGAATCGTCCCATTGATTTCAATTGAGCTGCATCCTGGTTCTTTCTTCAGTCCAGTGACTCTCATGTGCTTCCTCAGCTCAGAAACGCTTTCCCATTTCCCGGATTTAGCGTATATGTTTGATAGGAGAACATGCGCACCATCGTTCCTAGGTTCCAGCTCAAGCAATCGTGTACAAGCCATTTCAGCAAGATTCAGATTGGCATGGATCTTGCAAGCTCCAAGAAGCGCTCCCCAGACAGAAGCACTTGGAGGAATCGGCATGGCCTCTATGAACTTCACAGCTTTTTCCAGATAACCCGAGCGACCAAGAACATCAACTATGCAAGCGTAATGCTTGTCCTCAGGGACAATACCATAATTAGATTCCATTTTGCTGAATAATGACTCAGCCTCATCCACCAAACCACTATGGCTACAAGCACAAAAGACATTGGTGAATGTCACACCATTAGGCTTTACATTAGCCTCTTGCATTTTGTAAAACATATCCAAGGCATCATTTCCACATCCGTGCATCGCCAAGCCACCAATCATTGCGCTCCACACAAACACATCTCTCTTCTCTACAGTGTTAAACACTTCACGGGCCTTTACAAGATCTCCACATTTCGAATACATATGAATCAATGCACTTGTAACATAAAAATTCGACCTTATGCCGTGCTTTTTGATGTAGCTATGGATCCATCTACCTAATTCCAATGCTCCTACCTGGGCACAAGCCGATAGAGTACTTACCAGAGTAATCTGGTTCAGCTTTATGTTCTTCTGAAGCTGCAGCTCATGGAAAACTAAAAGCGCCTCATTAGGTTTACCATTCTGCTCATAAGCGGATATCAGAGCATTCCAAGCAACAATGTCCTTCTTAGGCATAGAGTTAAGAACATCTCTAGCTGCTTCGTAGTCTTCCAAAATCGCAAACCCATCAAGCATTGTTGTCCACGTGACGTTATCTTTCACCTCCATTGTATCGAAAAGCCTTTTTGCATCCTCTATGCTTCCACACTTTGTGTACATATCAAGCATCGCATTAGCCAACGTCAAGTTCATCTTCACCCCGTTTTCTTCGATGTAAGAACAAACCTGCCTCCCAAACTCCAGATTCCGCAACTTTGCACAAGCAGACAAGACACCAACCATCGTCACATGACTTGCCTTAACTTCCTCAGACTCCATCTTCTTAAACAGCTCCAAAGCCTTATCAGGAGAACCCTTCTGCACAAACCCAGTAATCATTGAATTCCACGAAACCACGTCCTTTTCTTGAATCGTAGTAAACACTTTACAAGCCGAGTCCAAATCACCGCAGGAGAAGTAACAATGAATCAAAGAATTCGCCACGAAAACGTCGCATCCAACCGATGACTTAACCGCCATGCCGTGAAGGGATTGACCCAGAGACAAAGAAGAAACTTCAGCAGCGGCTTTGATGAGGAAAGGGAAAGTGTACGTGTTCGGGTAACACTGGCTCTCCGAAACCATATCCAAGAAAACACAGATGCTCCGTAAAGGGTCTGGTCCTGAAGCGTAAGCACGGATAAGTGTGTTCCAAGTGAAAGAGTTTGGTTGAGGAATTTGATCGAACACCTTGCAGGCGTAATCGAGACTCGCGAAGGGGGAGAGTGCAGCGATGGCGAATAGCTTGCTAGCCGAGTAATGGTCGTTGAAGAGACCAGTACGGACCATTTGGGCATGGATTTGCTTCAGTTGTCGGAGATCTGCACATCGGTCGATCAGAGAAAGAGTGTGGCGGGAGCGTTCGTTATTGGTGGTTGGTTGATTCGGATTGGAGAAGGTTGGATGACGTGGCAGTGAGAGAGGTTGTGCTATGGAGAAATTAGCCATTGACTTTTTTTTTGTGAATCCGTCTCTCTTCGTAACTTTTACATTATAAATTCCACAAACACAGCACAAGGGTTGGTTTCAAACTTTTGAATAGATAAGATTCAAATTAAAATCATTTCGTTAAAATATTGTAAAGTATTATAGAAATAGATATAAACTTATTATACCTTAATTTTTTTTTTTTTTTGGTTTCTGTTACCATTAGTTTTACAGATATAGGGATAATTATAAAAAAGTGGCTACCTTCACTCAAAAGTCATTAAGGGTCTTTGAAACCAAATTAACAAAAGGCATTTAAGGGTTTAATTAAGTTTGGTTTCTTCAAAGTAATATTCTTGATAAATTTGATTTGAACTCATGTCAAGGACGAATACAGTATCATGCTTCAATAATAAATCAATCAAAACCAAACATGCTTATTTCGACAAAACAAATGAAACTGTATTCAAAAAGTTTACATCAAAATCTTCCATTCATCCTTAGAACATCACAAAAGGTTTGAAGAACACTGCACAACGAAAACGTCTAGTAATAACTGCGCAAAAAAAGTAAAACACAACGCCTAACATGCATGATCGATACAGAGCCGGTAAAGCCTTCTGGTACACAGGCAAAAGCATCAATGTGACCCTTTAAACCGGCTATGATCGCCAAGTAACAAGTGTAAACCATCATCAAATCATACATTGCTGCTCTTCCAACTCAAATACAATTTGATTATTAATAATAATATCAAAAATGTAACAAACAAAGGTAGTCACCTTAATTAACTCGTGATAGAAGACGCCGATGGACCAGATCTTTCCTAAATCTATTGTATACTAATGAAGAATTGAGAGTTAGACACATCACACATGAACATGATTTATAATGCCGATTAGTTCGATAAAATATCGATCGGTGATGGATCAAGGATGGGGGATTTGAAATGGCTCATGATGATTGCTTACAAAGAGACAAATTCTTGCTTCTCTTAAAAAAAAAATTATAAAGATCTTTGTTTCCGTACTAGTAGAAGACAATGTGGGCAATTACTTTCCATTAAAATCGGGCAACATTGATAATATTCTAGAGATCTTTAATCTAAGAAATTGTAACACGTTCTTTTTTTCCTCAATTTTTCCAACATTTTACCCTCTGACTATATAAGTTCTTTAAAGTTAATTTAATTTTAAAAGGGAAAAAAACTTGCCACGTTTTTATAATTATAATTATAATTATCATTGATCTAAGATTTGCAACGTTAAACCCTAATTGCCTTTTTTCACATTATGCTTGAAAACAAATCTTCCTTTCTTTGAATTTTGCCGATTTGATGATGAATGAAAAACGAGAAAACGAGAACGCAACTTTAGTCTTGCTCATTGTTGGGGGCCATTGCACGACGAATCCACCACCTCCGTCAACTGAGAAATGATAATTATATCGTCCTCTCTTGATCGTTGATATGGATGCTCTCCAAATCATGAAATGCTTAGAAATGCTTAGTAGTATCGCTTTAGTCACCATGTCTTCGGATATCACGTTGGAATTCCTACAATTTCTGATGAAAATCATTTCAAACGACTCATTGGCACTTGAAATTCACATATCAAAGCCTCCCTTTACTTGCTTATGGTTGGAGCGGATCCAGACCCGTCTTTATAATAATAGGCAAAATATAAAATATAAAATTTTTACATATATTATATAATTATAACGAAATTATAAATATTAAATGTACTAATTAATTATACAGGGGTCATATTAGTATATGTTAATAATATTAATATTCATTTGTGCAGAGTTTGAACAAAAGTATTGCATAAATTTTTAATCCCAAATCAATTTTGTGGTTTATATTTCTGCATTTTGTTATCCAAATTAGAAACTCCAAAAATCTCATATTCAATAGCTCCTTACATAAACCAAAGAAAAAAATTAATAACAATCACTTTCTCATTATGAATATTAAATATAAGTTTATACTAAATATATATATATATATAAGTTTATACTAAAAATATATAAGTTTATACTGTTAGAATAATGCGGATTAAGAAGAAGATTAGCGAGTATTAAGAAAGTGAAATGAGATAAAGAGGAAGGAGAATAATGTCTCCAAAAACTTCGTATTTCTGAGGTTGATACGACGATACATATATAGGCAGACACAAAGAGTACTAAAACCCTAGAAGATATTTCTCTAGAAACTAAATGACAAACAAAGGAGATCCCGAGACTGAAAGTGACAGCTCCGAGAATAGTCACATGTTTCCTTAAACGAGTCTAACCACTTTTCTTTGTCTTCTCTTGCCTTCTAACGGTCATATTTCTCACGAGACATCTTCTTGGGCCTGAGTTCCTCTTACTGGATCTGACTTAAGCATCGGCCTCATTATTTCATACTTAGCCAAATGTTAGCCTCGATATATAGACAAGCTATACCGAGTCTTCTCATATTGTCTAAGTCTTTATTCATTGTCTCAATACTCCCCCTCAAGCTTAGACATATAGATTGTATGGCTAAGCTTGGAGATCCACAAACATAACCTCATTAAAACCTTGACATAGAAAAACCTCATGGGATAAAAACTATGCCAAGGAAAAAGAGTATAATGTTCATGGATCAGAGTGCTTGAGATCAGGCTTGAGAGATGTTCACGAGTCCCAGTTTGCTGAAGATACGATCACAAACTTTAAGACTCGCAGCTTTGGTGAAGATATCGGCTAACTGGTCTTCACTTCTAGTGTAGCATGGAAGTATAACTCCATCTTCGATCTTTTGCCTGACTTTGTGGCAATCTATCTCGATGTGCTTTGTTCTCTCATGAAACACCGAGTTGTTGGCTATGTGTATAGCTGCTTGATTGTCGCAATGAAAGGTCATAGGCTTTGAGGATTCGATGTTGAGATCTTTGAGCAGTGCTTTGAGCCAAGTAAGTTCGTTTGCTAGCTTCTTCATGGCTCGATATTCTGATTCAGCACTTGAGTCAGACACCACTTTCTGCTTCTTTGTCTTCCAGGTCACCAAGTTGCCTCCTATGAATGTACGATATCCAGTTGTGGATTTTCTATCATTCCTGTCTCCAGCCCAATCAGCATCGCAGTAACCAACTATCTCTGTGTTGTTATTCTTTCCCATCCAAATGCCTTGGTCAGAGGATCCCTTGAGATATCGCAAGATACGCTCCACCAAGCTCCAATGGTACACTGTAGGTTTTTGCATGTGCTGGCTCACCTGATTCACAGCAAAACAAAGATCAGGCCTGGTAAGTGTTAGATAAATAAGCTTACCTACAAGACGCCGGTAGAGTGGAATGTCTTTGAATGGCTCATCAGATTGCTCCCCCTTTCGATTGACCTTGTAACCATCTTCAAGAGGATTTTTGGCGGGTTTAGCATCAAGAAAACCTGTTTCACTCAAAAGATCAAGGATATATTTTCTTTGGGACAAGAAGAGGCCATCTTCAAACCGGCACACTTCTATCCCAAGAAAGTATTTGAGCACCCCAAGATCTTTGATATCAAATACAGATTTGAGAAATGCTTTAGTAGACGCGATACCTTCCTTGTTGTCTCCGGAGATGATCAAGTCATCAACGTATATGAGAACAACAACTATACCTTGAGAACTTTGGAGAGTAAATAGAGTGTGATCAGATTCAGATTTCTTGAAGCCATGATCTCTGAGAGTGAAGCTGAGTTTGTGATACCAAGCGCGTGGGGATTGTTTAAGACCGTATATGGCCTTTCTCAGCCTGAGAACTTTGCCTGGAGCAATGGAATCGTCAAGGCCCGGAGGAGGCTGCATATAGACTTCCTCATCAAGCTCCCCCTGAAGGAATGCGTTCTTGACGTCCATCTGCCACAGCTCCCAAGACAAGTTAGTAGCTAACGAGAGAATGACCCTTACAGTTTTGAGGTTGGCCACCGGAGCAAATGTATCAGTGTAATCATCTCCATAGGTTTGAGTGAATCCCCGAGCTACTAATCTTGCCTTGTGTCTCTCAATTTCTCCATTGCTCTTGTATTTGATGGTGAAAACCCACTTAGAGCTAACAGCTTTCTTGCCTGCGGGTAAATCAGCTTCATCCCAAGTATGGTTCCTGATCATTGCGTCTTTCTCATCTCCAATGGCAGTGATCCATTCTTCCTTGTCTTTAGCTTCATCATAGCTTTGTGGAATGAAGTTGATATCAACTTTGCCAAGAAAAGCTTGGTGCGCCATTGGTAAGAGGGCAATCGAACAAGTGACTTGAGAAGGATGAGCCACGGCCTTGTTGTTGTAATAGACCCGAGTATTGATTAATCTGGTGCTGCGTCTAAGTTGTTGCGGTTCTGTGGCTACAGGTTCTTGCACCATTTCGTCATCATCATCTGATAATAGCTCGGTTTCTCCAATGTTCTCATGTTCTTGCGGTTGAACTGGGGCCACCTCAGGTTCCTGGTCTTGCTGTTGTTCCAGTATAATCGTGTCGGACGTAGGAGACTCCGGCTCGCTTGGACCTGCTGTGGGCTGCTCCAAACCGCTTCTGGCCGGTCCATCATTACCAAGATGATCTAATAGAAATCTCAAGCTTGTGGCACGGTCACTAGGAGATCTAGACAGGTCTTTGAGCTCTTCCCAATCTTTAGTGTTGTAATATCCTTGGTGCTCAAGAAACTTGACGTCTCGAGATACACTGGTGCGGTTGGTGCAGGGATCATAGCACTTGTACCCTTTCTGTGTTGTCGAATAGCCCAAGAAGATGCACTTTGTGCTCTTAGCTTCTAGCTTATTCCTCTGATCACCTGGTACTAAGACAAAGCAAATACACCCAAAAACCCTCAGATGATCAAGAGATGGTTTATTGTGATTTAGTACCTCAAATGGTGATAAGTCCTTTAAGACTTTGGTTGGAATTCGGTTGATAAGATAACATGCGGCAAGTACAGCATCCCCCCAAAATCTTTTGGGCACATTGGTGTGGAACATCATCGATCTAGCCACCTCCATCAGATGTCTATTCTTTCTTTCGGCCACTCCATTTTGTTGTGGCGTGTAAGGGCAACTTGTTTGATGCAAAATGCCATGTTTTGATAGATATTCTTTGAATCGATGGCTTGTGTATTCTCCTCCATTATCTGACCTTAAAATTTTGATCTTAGCATTGTAATGGTTAGTGACATAATTTTTAAAATTCAAGAATGCTTCAAACACTCGATCCTTGGATGGCAAGAGAGTAACCCAAGTATATTTAGATTTTTCATCAATGAAAGTCACAAAATACTTGTTGTTATCCCTAGACATACAAGGAGAAGTCCAAACATCAGAATGCACTAAATCAAAACAATTCTCATAAATAGCGGATGACTTGGGAAAAACAGTTTTGCAATGTTTGCCAAGAATACATGCTTCACAACTAGAGTGATCAAACGAAACATGTGGCAACAATAATCCAAGTGCACGAGAGTGGGGATGACCTAATCTAGCATGCCACATTGCATCAACATTAACCGAAAGACAAGAACTAGATAAAATAGATTCAGAAGTGCTTGGAGATAGATCCTCGAGAATATAGAGTTCATCTTTGGTTCCACCTTTGCCAAGAACTTTGCCATTCTCAATAGCCTGAAAATACACATCATTAGGACCAAATATCGCTTTACAGTTTAAATCAGTAGTTGCTCTCTTAACCGATAATAGATTAGATGTGAATTTAGGCATGAAGAAGGCTTTGGAGTTCTTATTAAACAAGTTCAAATTACCTATTCCCTCAACTGGAATTCTATCACCATTAGCAATTATAACATTTCCTAGAGCCGGTTCTATATTGTTTAGTAAATTAGGGTTACTAATCATATGGTGAGAAGCACCTGAATCCACAATAAGAGCGTTACTAGGTTTATGAGTAAAGAATGTGATACCGGATTCTTTGAGAGAGGCAATGGCTTTGATTACGGCTTCTAGATCAGCTTTCCTCACAAAGTCATCAGTGGCCGCCATAGCAGCTTCACTTGCTTGAGAAGATGAACCAGCTTGACTTTGTGTACCCGAGTAGGCTGATGCAGCATTGGCTCGATGTTCCTTGAACTTGTTTGGTTTGAGATGGGGATGGAGGATCCAGCACTTGTCTTTGGTGTGGCCTTTCTTGTGACAGTGGTCGCAAGTTGCAGATCTCTTCTCATCAGGCTTGTAAACGCCTTTATTGGCCGTCAAGAGTTCACCTTTACCACCAAAGAGCCCGAGTGACCCCTGTTCCTTTTGAATCCGAGCACACACTTCATCAAGGCTTGGAAGCTTGTCTTCCCTCAGTATATGCTTGATGAGGTCATTGAAGACAGGGTTCAGTGTGAGTAAGAGACCGAACACCTTATCTTGTTCTCTCCTTGCATTGAGAACCGTGGGGTCCAAGGTAGCTGGGCGAAGCATCTCTAGTTCAGCCCACAAGGATCTGAACTTCCCAAAGTGATTTTTGAACTCCATGTCCTCTTGGCTGAGATCATTGATAGCCTTCTTGACTTCAAAAACTCGGCTCAAGTTGGTTTCATTGCCGTACACATTCTTGAGAGTTTCCCAAAGCGATTTAGAGGTTTTGCAATAAGAATAAGCTTCAAGAATGGCCGGATCCAGAGAGTTTTGAATGAGGCCCAGCACAGTTTGGTCTTCTTGAAACCATTTAACTTCTGCAGCTTTGACCTCTTCGCTCTTCACTTCATCTTTTGCGGCTTCATTTGGTGTATTGTCTTCTAAGACGTGATGCCAAAGTCCTCGACCACACAAGGCTGTCTTGGTGGTACGAGACCAAAGGAGATAGTTTGTCCCCTTAAGGGTGATCGGAATCACCACAATTTTCGGCGTTTCCATAAGAAAGATGAGACCGGACCGCTGGATAAAGCTAATGCCCGGAGGATAAAAAAAAAAAACGTTCCCAGAAGTATGAAGAACAGACGAGATGAATCGAGAAGATAAGAATGAAGGAGAGTAAGAGAGATTATGAAGATTAATGAGAATAGAAGAGAATAAGAGTTTAGACGAATCTTTGCTCTGATACCATGTTAGAATAATACGGATTAAGAAGAAGATTAGCGAGTATTAAGAAAGTGAAATGAGATAAAGAGGAAGGAGAATAATGTCTCCAAAAACTTCGTATTTCTGAGGTTGATACGACGATACATATATAGGCAGACACAAAGAACTAAAACCCTAGAAGATATTTCTCTAGAAACTAAATGACAAACAAAGGAGATCCCGAGACTGAAAGTGACAGCTCCGAGAATAGTCACATGTTTCCTTAAACGAGTCTAACCACTTTTCTTTGTCTTCTCTTGCCTTCTAACGGTCATATTTCTCACGAGACATCTTCTTGGGCCTGAGTTCCTCTTACTGGATCTGACTTAAGCATCGGCCTCATTATTTCATACTTAGCCAAATGTTAGCCTCGATATATAGACAAGCTATACCGAGTCTTCTCATATTGTCTAAGTCTTTATTCATTGTCTCAATATATACTCTCATATTCTTGCTTCTTCATCTTCTTCTCACTATTTCTGAGAGACTCGAAAGTCAAAAAAGGAGAAAAGAAAAGACAAAACAAATTTTAGGGTGTGTTATTGGAGAGTTGATTTATAAAGATTTTTAGAGTTTAAGATTCTATAGTTATTGATTTGTGCATTTTTACATTCTTAATAGATTTCTCTGTTATTCATTTAGAGATTATAAAAATCAGTTGTTATTGATATGATGATTTTTATAATCTAATCAAAATCCATTGTTATTTAAAAAGTTTGCATTTTAATGATTCTATAATTCTGTTATAATCTAGTGTTATTGGCATAATGATTCTTTGTAATTTAATTCATAAATCATGATTCTCAAAATACTACCTATATCCCTTGGATTCTCAAAATCTGTCATATTAAAAAAAAATTAATAGATTGTTTAAATCCATAAAAATCTCTCTAATTTTTACAAATCCAACAAAACTCTTAAAAATTTAACAAATCTCATGATTTTTAAAATCAACAAAAATTTTCATAAATCCAACTCCCAATAACCCCCTAAGAACTTAGGCTGGTATACAAAATATCTCATATTAGATTGGGTAAGAATAAATCAAGGCCTGAAATCTATACGACTTGTAAACTTTTTAAGCTAGGTTTTGTGTTGAGTTCTACATAAAAGACTTTGTGATGGTTTCGATCCAACTCTTATGAGAAACACAATAGCAAAAAATTGTAAAGACTATAGATCCTAAGACTCGCTTCCTATTGTGTCGAAAGAAATGAAATTCCACATCTCAATTTTTACCTTCTTACTCATCGACATGTTATCTTTCTCCATCAAACATCTAAAACTTTAGCCTCTCTTTTGCCATTACAAAGCTCATCCCCACGTCCCAATAAGTCCCAACCTCATTTCAACAGCAACGAGCTTCAGTTCCTTGAACATCAAGAAATCCATTGAGCTGTTTTGCTCTGCACATCAAACCACACACAAACTCTCCAATATCGAGTTACATTCGCAATGAGAAGTAAATACATCTACTCGTCCTCTGCCACTGAGTCAGCTCCTTTGACGGTGAGACGTTTTCTGACTGAGATTACGCCACGTGGCGTAGATCCGAGCGTGCGACACTTGAAATAAGAGTCAGAATTGTCCCACATCGAAAGTTTGGGAAATGGTTTATGTTCTCTTCGAAATATAAAATAGAAACGACTTTCACTTTGTCCACTTAACCGTTTCTGTCAGATTAGAGGATCAGTGATACGATGCGTCAATGATCGTTTAGAGACGGCGTATCTGTCGGCCAAATTTGACTAATATTTTTTAAAAGGCGAGTGGGCCTGACCTTACTTTTGTTGGGCCTACCCGTCAATTTTTGGAAACTTCGATACTATTTATCGAAGTTCTACCCACAAACCAAAAATAAAAAGTTAACAGCAATATCGCAAGATTCACCTTTTTTGGCAGGATTTACATTAATAGTAATACAAAATATAAAATGCAAATATATATTATTTTAAAAAAAATAAGTATATTTATACATCAATTTATGACGATATGCTAAGGTGTTAACCATAGAAAAAAAAAACTCCCTTAAAATTTTCTATAATTTATAGGTTTTGTTTAAGAAAAAAAAACGAATAACTAACAGATATGGCATTCAATAAATACACATACTGATTTTTTTTAATCAAAATTAGTTTGGTTTCTCCGTTATGAAGAAGGACGTATATTTGTTCACCTCTAGAATTTCTTTTTGTTATTTTTCTAATTATATAGATGTTTTTTCCTGAATATTACAAATATTTGACGATCTAGTGATAAATTTTTTTTATAATTAAACATACGATTTCAATTATTTTATTCAACTATCTTCGATTTTCTTCTAAATATACTTCATTTTGTTCAAAAGGACGTTTACGGATTTTCTGAATATTCATCAAAAGGGTTTCTCCAAAGAAATAAGTACATAGTTTATACTAAGAAAAGAGCATATACCTTAACTTCCTAAATTAGAATGATACGAATAATTAATTTAGGAAACACAAAATCATCTAAATTAAATGGGAATGATTTCCCAACAGGAACCGCCTATGCTTTTGGAAATATAACATATACAATTAGTTGGTTTAGTCCATATATATATAAAGACATGCATACTATAATACTCGCATAGATCTCTAAAACATAACTCTTTGCATAAATGGCAAAAATGTCGCCTTTGTTGACGCTCTTCGTCGTCCTCCTATCTTCCATGATGATCCACCACCTTCCCGTGGCAAGCTCAACAAAATGGTGTGTAGCATCTCCTACGGCCAAGGAAAAGCAGCTTCAAGACAATATCACTTTTGCGTGTAGCCAAATGGGAGTTGATTGTAGACCGATCCTACCTGATGGAGCCTGTTATAATCCCAACACTCTGCTAAGCCATGCGTCTTATGTGATGAACGCTTATTACCAAAGCCATGACCGCACCGACCAGGCTTGCACATTCTTTTTCCCAAACAGCGGCACGTTCACTACTACAAACCCTAGCTATGGTGCTTGTGTCTATCCATCTTAATTAGATAATATTTTAATTGGTTTTTGATATGTAATCCACTTAATACGTGCGTAATAGACTAATAGGATGAATCAGCAGCTCCAATGTTTTTGATTCTGTTTTTTTTTTTTTTTTTTACCAATTATACCATAATAAGAAAATCACGATATTTGTTTGAATTCAGTGAATTATATCGTTGGTATCTTTTAGTTAGGCCATAAAGTGATTTACAATGCCTAACTCAAGATCGGTTTAACATCGTTCGGTATCTTGTCCTCCTCAAACCACTTGACCAGTTCTTGTTGTAACTTGTAAGCATTAAAACCTTTCCTGGCAAAGCAAGCCCGATGGGTCAATTAATATTTCATCAATGTGTAACTCGATTCATCAATTATCATTTTGAGACGACCTATCCCATCTAACTTTTGGAAACGTCGATACTCAGATACAATAGAGTTGATAAGGAGACACTACAAGAAAACACTCTATTTACAACGACTATATTCGGTGTAAAATCGTTGTAAACAGGGTTTACCATCGATTTTACGACGAATTTGTAATCGTTAATCGATCGTCGCTAATGCGAAATTGTTATAAGTTAGCGACGAATAAAAAACGTCGCTAATTTACAACGATTTTACGACGATTATGTTTTTTTATTAAAAAAAATAAAATCATCGTAAAATCGTCGCATTCGATAATTATTTATTATTTTTTATTTAAAATAATAATTAGCGGTGGTGGCTGGTGGTCTCCGGTGGTGGATGGTGGTCGCCAGTGGTGACCGGTGGTCGCCGGTGGTGACCGTAGTCGCCGGTGGTGACCGGTGGTCGCCGGTGGTGACCGTAGTCGCCGGTGGTGACCGGTGGTCGCCGGTGGTGGTGGCCGGTGGTGGCCGGTGGTGGCCGGTGTTGGCTGGTGGTCGCTGGTGGTGGCCGATGGTGATCCGTGGTGGCCGATGGTGTAGCCGGTAGTTACTCTGATGTTAGTGATATACTGATTGTTTATAGTTATGAATATGTATATATATATTATAACAAATTTTCCAAAACTACCGATGTGGGACTTTGTATCTTTTATAAATCGTTGTAAAATCGTTGTAAAATCGAAAATTTGGTTTTAAAAAAAGAAAAGTAAATTAGAAAAAAGAAATCAAATTGTCGTAAAATCGTCGTAAGTTGCAACGATGATTTGATTTTTTTTTTTTATAAAAATGATAAATTAGAAAAAAACCAAATCGTTGTAAAAACGTCGTAAATTGTGACGATTTTACGATGATTTGATTTTTTTAATTATTATTTTCTAAAATCAAAACATCATCGTAAAAACGTCGTAAATTGCGATGATTTTACCATGATTTTATTTGCAACGAATTAACGACGATTTAGCACACAATCGTTGTTAATTCGTCGTTAATTTACGACGACAATAATTCGTCGTAAAAAATCGATGCTAATTCTGTCTTTTCTTGTAGTGAGAAGCTAATCCATGAACCATATTTTTGGTTTACATTGTTTGTTGATTCTGTTTTAGTTCAGGCTAACACATATTTCTCATCATGTGAAGTTCTAAACCAAGTTGTGGTTGATAAATTAATAACAATGTTTAAACATTAATGAAAGGAACAAAGTTCAAATTAAATGTAAAGAAATCCAAAAGACTGTAGCATAAACAAGGTTATAGCTCACAGACAAGAAAATACTAAGTCTTGATGAATTTCCTGTATGAATTTTTCTTAGTAGTCAAATGGTAAGATCCATCATTCAAAATAGTTTTATGTGCCCAACTTTTCAAGTCACAGTTGGCACACCAAACAAAAGACTCTCTATAGTCAAACTTTAGCGTTTGTTTACACTTTAGTGTAGAGTGACTAAAGCTTATCTAATAAAATAATTTATTGGGATTAATATTCTAATATAAGGTTATTTTTTGAATATTGTCTTAAATATATATCAAAGTTTTATAATCTTATCATAAAAGCACTTTTTAATTCAGATTAACGATTTATATTTTTTAGTGTGCGCAATTAGTTCATTCTAGTGTTTTTTACAAACAAATATGTATATATAAGGAGTATTAGTTGTATAAGTTGAAACTGCCGAACAGATTTGAAAAAACATAGCGTATTTAGAATTTAAATTATATATATTGTCTACAATTTTAAATTATGGGACATTGTATTAAGAAAGTATACCATTTGAATTCTAATAGAATTGAATTTCATAACAAATAAAAAAGTAACTAAAAACATAGAAAAAGCATAAAATTAGTTTCATAACATCTATGAAATAATCGGTCAAAATGTATAATATTAGACTTTAATTAGTCTATTCAAAATTTTAACTATATAACAATGAATTTCAAACTCCTCTAATGAATAGATTGTAAATACATGCAAGAACCAATAACAATAGATTATTATAAAAATAAAATAAAAATCAATCATAAAATAACAATGGATTGTTGATAAATTTAAACTTTATTGAAAACCATGACTGAAAAATAACTCATAGTGTTATGTATATGTGTGATGAAGTCAGATGTTTTAAAATTTTGATTATATAGTACTATATCAAATACACAATAATAATGAATCAATGCATTATTGATAGAAAAAATATTTTAACTTAGAATTTTTTTTTTTTGTTTTAAAAGAAGTTATTTCTTAGTCAACCCAAAAAAAGTTATGTATCATGAAATTTTTTTTCTTATTTATCGGACTCGTTAGATGAAAATCTTATGTATTTGAAGTTCAACAAACATCATTTAATTGTGTGCAATGCAAGAAAGCATACTACCGTTATCATATATTACAAGAGGTTAAACATGAATATTAAAAATATAAGGAGTGTCACTTGACCCGTATATCATTAAGCATGGATCTGCTCTGCAGAGGAATCTGTACTAACATAGCTCAAGTCCAAGAGCTACTTCCTTCAGCAGAGGACCTCTTAACCTGCCCATACTCCCAAAGCAGAGGAACACAACCCATGCCTCTGGCTGATCATCAAGCCATTTCATATACTCGTCACCATGGGCTAAGTCCTGATCTGGATGAGGCTGGGCCTTTAAGTCAAATATGGGTCCAACAGCATAAACAGAAGGGTAATTCTGTTCATTAAGAATGATTCACAGAGGTAGGCTCGATATCAAAGGAGCTATTCACAAGGATTCCATTGGCCTTGGTAAACAAGATTGCTAGTTTAACATAAGCATCATAACTGTCTTCGAAAAACAGAGCTGATGGGAGAACTTTGACAGGGACAGGGTTACAAAGCCAGGAATTGACACCATTTCTTCAGACTTTCTTACAAAAACCGAGATATCTCTACTATGTCGATCTGCTAGATACTGCATCATAGCTAGGAACCCGGAGTTTGTACTCAAGAACACATAAAAAGAAAGACTTACATCTTTTGCAACGTCAATTATGGGGAGACAGAAAAAATCAGCAACTATTCCCTTGACCGTAACTCCATCATCCAGTGCAGGAGATAATAAGAGATACCCATAATTATATTTCTCACTAGAGGGATATTTCTCTCAATAACATCGTACATAGGCTTCCACAGACTGAGTAGTACCAAGTGTATGGTTTCTCTTCTAACTCAGGGACATCAATGAATCTAACAAAGGGCTGAGACGAGGCAATTGAATTAACATATGTATCCAGATGAGACTGACCTTGCAGGTTCATCAAGAGGATGGTGATATGGATCCTAACATCCTGGTCAATGAGACGCCTAGCAAATTCAAGAAACTGAACAAGATGCGACCAACAGTTGGTGTTGGGATGAAGATGAGCTCTGTGTTTCTCATCTCTAACAACAGACAGCTTTTCTTCTTCCCTCCTCAGGCTCTTAGCAATCTACATGTAGAAGAAGAGAATTAGGTGCCTTCATCTTGACTTTTGTCACACGTGATGACTACTGATTCGTTTTACTCCTACCTAAATGTTGAGTTGGCCCTTGGCAGTTTCAAGAGAAAAGATGACTTACAGAGCAAAAATAATGGCCGACATTATAGAGTGGGATCCACAACCCAAAGAAAGCTACTTTATTGCATCTCTGTCTCTCTCTTTCTTCATTCTGATCAACTAATCACACTTGATACAACAAGTCTTCAACACCAGTAAATCACATGTTGACTCTCCGTTTCTCAAATTTCGGATTCTTGTTCTTGTTCGTGGATGATGCGCTTTGGTAGATCAACCGTCGCAGAGACCAAATCCTCCTTCAGAAACCCTACACAGACCTCTACTTTTTGAGTCGACAAAAACAAAAACACATAAACCACAAGAGTTGTTGAATAGATCAAAAGTGAAGCAAATAGATCGAACTTTATACAGACAAAATTGTTCCGAAGGTAAGATAAGAGGAACTCACTGAATCGAATAAGATAAAGATCATCAAGGAGAAATCATAACAAAGAGACATTCGAATATTCGATCTAGAACTTGAGGCATACATACATCAACTTCAAGGTACAATAAGTAAGCAGAGACACAAAGAGTGTTACATTTCAGGCGAGAGTGAGACAAAATCAAACATTGCATAGAAGAGAAAAAAAAAACCATAAGAGAGATTGAGAGGCCAAAATCACCGCCTGTGATCATAATCGAGGACTTCAGAATCAGTCACAGACCTCGAGTGCTGCACAATCGACCTTCCAATAGAGTTGATCCACTCTTCCTTCTCCTTCTCGTTATCGGCGATGAAGAACATGGTGTAGTTACCGCTCGACAGCTCAAACGCGAACGGCTTGTTTACGACGTCCTCAGCTCCTTTGACGGTGAGACAATCACCGACGGAGATCACACCACGCGGCGTAGATCCACGTGTTCCTGCGGCGGCTTGATCCTTGAACCAGAGAAGCTTCCCTCGCTTGAGCACGAACCAGCGCCGGCGCCAGGTCTTTATGTAATCGCCTTGCTTCGTGAGCCACCCGGATCGTTCTGGGTTGGACCAGAACTCGATTCCTTCGTAATCCTCCCGGTTCGGATCCTGACCCGTCGCGATTCGCCATAGATTCTCCATCCTCCTCCGTCTCTCCTAAAATCTCACACGGCTCAAGTCTCAACTGCCTTATCGCGCGATTCCTTTATCGCTGCTTTTTAATTCCTCTCTCTCTCTCTCACATTGATTCGGTATCCACCCAATTTCGATTAAAACGCAGCGTTTTAGTCGCTATTTCAATGAAGTCGGTCGTTGCTCGCGCTGGCTCTCTGCGTATTATCGGGCCCACGCAATAAGTGTTATAGTAAGCAGTTTTTTTTTTACTTTCATCTCGTGACGGTAAATTTTTTTTCTTGTACAGAGACTTTTACCAAACAATAATAACGGTTTAATCAACCGCTTCTTGAATTTTAGACAGGCTTTGGTTCGTGTTTATGGTGCTTTAGCAACTTTTGGACAGAAAAGACCACAAACTTCGGACACTAGTCCTAAATTCTACTAGCACAAAAAAAAAAAATCTCACAAATCAAACAGCTATCTGAGTGAGTTAATACTGAAATTCAAAAGTGAAAAACAAGAGTGCCTATGCTCAGACATTGTTGACGCGAGGTGTGGAAGTAGTGACCTCAGGTGTTTCAAGAAAAGAAGACTCAGCAAGATCAATGGCTCTGGCTAAAGCCGCTGCTTTGTTCTCACACTCCTTCTGTTCATCGTCAGGGTTACTGTCTGCAACAACTCCAGCTCCGGCCTGAATATGAGCGATCCACTCTCGACGTCTCTGAGGATGCTTGTAAGAGTACAGAGTGTCGTAACGGGTATTTGTTGGAAAGACCATTGTTCTGAGAGCTAAGGCGATGTCCATGTCTCCGTTAAACGAGATGCCTCCAAAGCCACCACTATAAGGACCACGTCTCGTTACTTCCAGTTCATCTATCAGCTCCATGGCTTTTACCTGTATCAAAATGATTTTTTTGAGTATGGTGAATGTGTAATGAGTTTGTGGTTTTTGTGTGAGAGAGAAACCTTTGGGGCTCCGCTCACGGTTCCAACGGGAAGTGCAGCTCTAAGAGCGTCCCAGCTTGTTAGATCATCGAGTAATTCGCCTTTTACCTGTGAAGAAGGAGATGTGTTGTTGAGACAAACAGAAATGGGCATCTATTTGAAACGTTCAATATTGAATTGTGACATACTATATACTACTGAGTGAAAAAGAACTTGTTTGCCTGTAAAATTGAAATAGGGGCATACCGTGGAGCTTATGTGCATGACATGTGAATACCGTTCTATATTCATGAGCTTCTCAACCTCCACAGAGCCGGGCTTTGAAACCTGAGTTCACAAGAAAATCCAACAAGTTTTCCAAAAGAAGAGGGTAAGAGACTGAAAATGAAATAAGAGTAAAGCAGTGTTAAGGTAATGAACCTTGCCAACATCGTTCCTTCCTAAATCAACAAGCATAACATGCTCTGCGCACTGTTTCTCATCGCTTAAGAGCTCTTTTTCCAACATTAGATCTTCTTTGGGTGTCTTTCCTCTTCTGACAGTTCCAGCAAGAGGGCGATTGGTAATTTTCCTCTGTAGATTAAGCAATTCATTTAGAAGGTGGGGTTTACAATATTTAAGGGAACCAAGGATTAGAGAAGAGAGTAGGTAACAGGTACATTTTTCGAACGTAACAATATTTCTGGACTTGAAGCAACTAATATGCATCCTCTAGCCTGTAAATAAGACACACATAAAGGAGGAAAACCACAGTTTTAGTGACATTGGTTTCCAGAAAATGTTTTAGGAAACAAGGACCGAAGGAGTAAACCTGTAAATAGGCCATGTACGGGCTTGGATTTACAATCCTAAGAGCTCTATATATCTCAAATGGATCCGCAAATGTCCGCCTTTCAAATCTCTGACTAAGAACTATCTGAAAGATATCCCCAGCCAAGATATGTTCTTTGGCTTCCAACACTGCCTCCTTGTATGCCTCTCTCGTCATAGTTGATTTCTCCAATTTAGGACCGAATAGCTCAGTGCGTAGCTTTATGAAACCAGTAGGCATCTTAGGGCTGAAATCAAACGAAACATGTAAGCTCGAACATATAAATAAACGACAAAGTTCTAATCCAAATATTAGGAGAACGATCTACTCACGGTTTTTGGTCTTGAATTCTAGAGGTTAGAGATTCCAACCGATTCATTCCATCACTAAAATTATCCTCAACAGAACGATCTCTATCTATCCGCACCCAATGGATCACATATGCTTTCTGTGTTCAACAGGAATAATTACTCTACCAAGGATTGAATCACAATCAAGACAAACTATTTCCATCTGTGTCTGTACAAAAACTCTTCTATCAATACTCCATAGAAAGATGCAATGTACTTATATACTAGGAACAACAGTATACCTTCTCGACATGATCAAACACGATCACATCATCGTAAAGCCCCAAATGAACATCAGGAAGACTCCTATCATCCTCTGGAGCATTTGAAAAAGGAAGCTTCTTCTTCTCAACATAACGCACAGTGTCATAAGAGAAGTATCCGACCCAACCACCTTGGTTAACAAAGGAGAAACCTTTAATCAGATTATCAATCAACCACCCGAGGAGGAATCAGATTAGCTTTCATAGATTTTCTTCTCTTACCGCAAAAAGCTTCAGGCAATTCATCAATACGTTGTGGTTTCCATTCCTCCATGATTTTCTGAGGAACCATCATCGGATCTTCCACTTCCTCTTCTGTCCTGAGACCAGCTCCATGGTCCATCACAGTGACCACATTTCCCTTCGCCACGATCTCTATTGTTGGTTGAGCTCCAACTACACTATACCTCCCCTAAAATATTGATATTTCAAAATTGAATTTAGAACACAAAAAACTCAAACAAGAGGCAGAAATGGAAAAAATGGAGGAGGCTTTACGATATTGGAAGCTTGAAGACCAGGCTCCACTGACTCGAACAAGAAGCTAGGAGCATCTCTATCGTCTTCTTTCACCAAACATCGGTACGCAAGTATCGGAGTCAAATGATCCGAGAATACGCATCGGTATACAGGAACTAAGTTTCCCTTCTCCGCCGCTTCCTTAAATTTTATCAATTGGTCTCCTAATAAATCTGCCCGGAGAAGTTAAAGTTCGATTACGAAAGGAATTGCTAAAGAGGGGAATAGTTTTTAGTGCACCTAAAGATGGAGTAGGTGAAGAAGAGCATTTGATAGGACGAAGACGCGAGACTGGGAGGAGATTTGATCGGGAGATAGATGCTCCACCGTCAAAGTGAAGAGAAGTAGCCGGCGGGGAAGCGAGCGACGACGGAAACCGGAGCGAAGGAAATGATGGTGGCGGCGGCGGCCGATGGTGCGTAACGGCTACGGCCTCAGCGACGGAGAAATCAGATTTGACGGAGAAGTTTGAAACGGCAGACATCAGAGTGATCGTGTTGATTCAGCTCTTTCTTTCGCTAACAGTTTAAAGAGGACTGAGTGTAGAAGAAGACATTCAAAGCCTTCAAGGTGATTCCGAAATCAGACGCAATTAGAATAATATTCTTTTGAGAGAATTACTACACTAACCTTTATAAGTATCTATATTATTTGTTTGGCACACTTTTAGTTTTTTTACAAAACTAATCTAGCATACCTAAAACACTCTTTTTATCTTTGTTAAAAAAACCTAATTACGAAAATACCATTATTTTTTTAATGCCACGTAAGCAGATTATAGCGCTGAAAATTTGACGGTAGACTTATCAAATTTTGGTCAACGCAAAAATTTTGTCGGTAGAGTTATTAGGTCAATGGTAGATTTATTCGAGAGTTGGTAGAGTTTACAAATGTTGGTAGACTTATCTTGGTAGAATTTTGACGATGAGAGGTAGATTTATTATGTTTCGGTAGATTTGTTGTTATGAATGGTAGACTTGTCAAAAGTGTTGGTAGACTTGTTAAAGAAAGCGTTGACTTTCTCGCATAGTTGACTTTCTCGGTAGATTTATTGACAATGAAGTAGATTTATTTTCTGAGTTGGTAGACTTATGTCCTTTGGCAGTAGATTTATGTGTCAATACGTGATGATAGATATATCTGTTTTATGGGAGAGTTATATCTTGTTGGTAGATTTTTCGCTTTTGTGGTAGAGATATTTGTTATGTGGTAGATTTAAATTCAAGTAAAATTCATTCCAGTGAGTGGTAGATTATTTGTTACATGAGGTAGACTTACAGAATGTTGGTAGATTTATTTGTTTTGTGGTAGATATGTTTGTTTTATGGTAGATTTAAATTCAAGTAAAATTTATTCCGGTGAGTAGTAGATTATTTGTTACATGAGGTAACTTACAGAATATTGGTAGATATGTTTGTTTGTTTGGTAGAGTTTATGTAATCTGGTAGAGTTATCGTATGTATGGTAGACTTCTTAAAATAATCATGTGGTAGATTAATTAAGTTTGGTATTTACAAAGATAACCTCGATCTGGTAGACATATGAAGTGCTTATGGTAGACTTGTATATATGGTAGAGTTATTTTTCATGCTTGAGGTAGACTTAGTTGTTAATGTTTGGCAAACATTTGACTTTATGGATTGAAATTACTTTTTTGTCCTAAAAGTATTGTCCTATCTACGAAAAAACCAGAGGTGTGGTAGACTTGTTTTGAAGTGTCGTATGTTAAACAAGTTTCGTACTATGGTAGACTTGTTCCATGGTTATATTTGAGTTGGTTTTGTTACCATTAACGTTTTCTTTGCATGAGTTTGCTAAGATTATGTCGGTTAACTGTGATTCGATCACAGATGATTATTGGTATTTACGATATTGATGCCATAATCAATGGTCAAAAATTTCTAACATGAATATTTTTTCTATGATATATATTTTCTCTAAGATAACTTTGCTTTTCAACTTTGAACATATATGTCATATCTGTAATAACCATCTCTTAACTTATGATTTTTTTATTTTTATTTTTGAATATTTGTTACATTTAACTCTATTTACATAAACTCTTACAACATCACAATGTCAAATGATTTTAGTCATGTGTTTTGATTAAAATTTTATTCAGTTATGATATACATCATAGTAAAAGTAAAGAAATAAATTAAATTGAATAATAACATTACTAGCAAATATGGTAAAAATGTGAAAATGTCTGGGTCAATGTTTTACGACAAATATAATTTGAAAACAACAATATTATCATTTAAAATCTAATTATCATTTTTACAAATTCAAAATACAGATATACCATCAATTTAATAATAAATCTACCATTATTTCAAAATAAATCTACTAAATGCAAATCTACAATTCATAGTAAAACATGTCGGATCGATGCTAGATATCCCATCAAAGATTTGTTCACCATGGCAAAGCCCATAATCTGTCAGAAAAAAATAAACAAATACTGTCATTCGTATATAAAATTCAAATATATACGACTGATAAATCTACCATAAATAACTAATAAATCTACCAAACACAAATCATTTTTCAAATAAGTTACCATTAAATGACTAATAAATCTACCAACCACATCGTTTTACAAATAAGTCTATCATTAGATGACTAATAAATCTACCAAATGACATCGTTTTTACTCTAAAATAATTTTACCATCAAATGACTAATAAATCTACCAAACCATATTTCGTTTTCTAAATATCTACCATCAAATAACTAATAATCTACCAAACTACATATCGTTTTTCAAAAAAATCTACCATCACATATTATGAACTTTACAACAAAAAAATACAATAAATCTACCAAACTACTTATCGTTTTCCAAATATATCTACCAAACTTACCTGAAACAAAAAAAATTAGGGTTGCGGGTTTTACAGAAAAAAACTTACGCCGCCGTCAACCTCCGGGACACCACCATTTCTTCGAAACAACATCTGTCCAGTGCGGTTGTGCGCGATGCGGCGAGAACGCCGCTTCAGAGTCGTGCCAATATTTCCGAGATCTCTAACACCAACAGTAAAACTCCTCCTCCGCCAAACAGAAAGTAGAAGACGAAGGGAAAGAGGAAGACGAAGAAGAAAGATGAAAAAATAAGAAAAATGAGGATATATGAGAAAAAAAACAAACCTGAACAAGTTTCTGAACGGCGATTGAGGCAAGATCTGTGTGAATCTGTGAAACAAAAAGAAAGCTGTGAAGAGAAAGCTGCGAAAATAGGGAGGCTGCCATGTTATGAAGAAGAGCAGCTCCATGGGAGAAAAAAAAAACGGCGCAGGAGAAAGAGAGAGAGAAGAAGATGAATTAGGGTTTTTTTTTTAGTTTTTGGTTTTGTTTTTTTTTTGTTTTGCTTTTTTCGTTTTAAAAAAATGTTTTTTTTTCATCAAAAAAAATTTCAATTTTTTAAAAAGTTTTTTTCAAAATTAAAGTTTTTTCGAAAAAAAAAATTATAAAAAAAAAATCATAATGGCATTTTCGTAATAATATTCAACATCTGGATAAAATGGACTTAAACCAACTTTATAAGGTTAGTCTAATAAGCCCTTCAATATGTTAAGTTAAGTTTGTTATTTCATTAACCTTAAAAGTTAGTCTGAGGAAGTTTCACTATTCTTTTTTATCTTCTGTTTTAATTATTTTCCATTAATAACCCACGAATAATTTTCCCTTAAAGTACAATAATAATAAATGACATGTGCAAGAGATAGTGAGGGATTTATTGGATTAATTGGATTAATGGTTTGAAAATTAATCAACTTGTAAGAAAATGTGTTTGCCTCGACCATTTAGTCAAAGATTCTGGGATTTTCGTTTTCAAAATAAGAATTTTACTTATGCTCTTATTAGTAAAATGTAATGAAGGATACATATAAATTACAGAAGAAAACAATGTATGTGAGTACTGAGTTTTTTACTCTTTTGTATTCTGTAAAAGAATGAAGAAAACCATCGCTGTAATAACTTCATCACAGAAGACAGTTGCGGAAGAACCGAATTTCCTGTTTGTGCAATGATAAAAGGAAGGTGTTACAATTAAGAAACTGCATTTTGGGGAAAAAAAATTTGTAAATAGTTTGGGAGTAAACAACGAGTGTATATGTATATACCTTAAGAGCAAATGTGATGTCTGCTTCATCTACTCTCAGGCTCACTCTCTTTAGCTTATCGTCTCGAGCGTGACTGAGTTTTAAAATCCCCTGTGCCAATCAAAAATGACTTTTTTTATCAAATGGATCTTTCAAGATTCCATTACGCATTTTGATTATATAAAACTAACACAATATTAGAGCTATATCTCCAAGAAGATGAATATTCTTTATAGGAGAGAGTACCTGGTCGTTTAGCACTGTACACATGTTAATGAACTCTGTAATTCCAGCTGGAGTTATCGTTGAGGATTTACAGATTTCTATGTATAGCTTATTTAACTGCATCAAAGTATGAAAACAGAGATGAATATATTGTGTACAATGTCTTTAGTTATAACTTTATGAGGCTGTATTTGTTTGTGTATTGTTCATTCAATGAAGATTTTTACCTCTGCAATGGTTCTGTCCTTTTTGCTTCCTCTAAAGGCCTTTGCCGCAGAACAAACTATGATCTGCAAGTTTTCAACAGCAGCATGTGATTACAGCCCACTACATAAGTCATTAGAATCAAATAAACTCCAACATAACTAAAAATTCTGGGATTACATTGGAAAACAAAACTAATCTTTTGTCAGGATCTATGTAAAACATACTGTAAACCTATACGAGTGATTATTGTAATTTACATAAGTCTATATGTTGATGTAACTTACTTGCTGGTGTTGAGGAAGGGACTGAATTGTGTCGACTACTGGAGATTTAAACGTCTTGGCCAATGCAGCTACCATATGATCCATTTTGACCTGTAGAGTTATCGATGAGAACAATTATGGGATAAGACCACGGGTTCTATGGATCCTTGATAGTAAGTGAACTGAGTAAATAAAAAAGTACTAACCATTTGATTCTCTGGAATTGGAATTTGTGGTTCTTGATCTGTTGATCCTCTAACTTCTATTTCTAAGATTTCTAAGGCGCTCCTGTAAATCAAATCATATGTTAATAAACTGGAATTGTCACTTTTAGAGTAATGATTTCAAGAGTAATGAACTATCTTATTCATCTAATGCTATACAAAAATAAACTCCAGAGACAAATCTTTCACAAGAGAATTCACCTGCAAACACATAGAGCTTTTCTCATGTCTCCTGATGCAGCTGATACTTTCTGGCACAACGGAAAAATACTGACATCAATACAGAATCTCAAAAAGAAAAGAAGGTTCACTAGACTGGGAGATAACAAATAAACATAAATCTATTCTTACTCTGGCACAAAGCTCCAAGGCTTTTGATTGAAATGCAACAAATGGAAGTGCCTGTTGGAGCAGAATGTTGAACATAAGAAATTACGACCAAGATAGAACATAAATTGAGTTGGGAATACAGATATCAACCCTACAGTTACAAGGTTCTCAAATTGGCCAAATTTTGTTGGCATGGTTGTAAATCTATAGTACATTTTTTTTCTTGATAGTTCTTTGACTACCATTGGCGATATATTTTCCTGATATACTTATATCACATTTCACTAGATGTATTAATCACTTCATCAGGCATTTCTCTGTCTGCAATATCATCCTATGTCACGAATTAGAGATAAACTTACCAAAAGCCTCTCTTGCAGTATCCTAAGGATCTGCTCCATAGAATAGGCACGGAAAGTGACAACCAAAGGTTTGCCTGCATCATTTGAAAAATTAAGTTAGAGTAAACTCTAACTTTTGTTCTTCATCAAAGTTAAGGGAAATATGGTGAACAGAATTTTCCAACTGTACACCATGATGGAGTTAGTCTTACAATTAAGAGACTTCAATTTTGGAAGGAAACGATCTGCGAGGTCTATTGCATTTGCTACACCTGGAGGACAAACACGACAAATAAATTTACAATTTTGTATGACCAGAGGAAACGGGTACATAAATGAACATTAAACTGTTAACGTGATCGCAAAAGACAGTACCTATAAGTATACACCTTGAAAATGGCAAAGTTGTGAGCATAAAAAGCTCATGAAGTACACCTCGATCTCTTGTGATCAAGTAATCCATCTCGTCCGCAATTATTAGCCTGCAAATGAAGTTTTAGTGAGAAACAACATTTAAATCTTAGGATGTCATCAAATCACAGCAAAAATAAAAGAAGAACCTACATCATCTTTGAGCTGGAAGATTTTTGCTTTTGAGAAAACAAAATCTGAAGTTGTTGTAGAGGTGAAGAGGAGCCATTAGCTTTCTTCCCGGTCTCAATTTCACCAAGTATCTAAAAACAAAATAACTCAATCAACAACCGTATTGAAAATGAGACCAAGAACTTCGAGGTATTCAGATTGCATAAGGTCTTTACCTTGGAGAAAATGTCTGTTGTTTTGGTCAGTGAAGTGCAATTAACAGACACTGTTTCCGGGCAAGGCAAGCCTTCCTGAAAGAATTCATGAAGAAATATCAGTCTTTTCATTGATAGACTCACACAAATCACAAGTTCTCAAATAGACATAAGATTCATCACCTGCTTTGCCCAGTCTTCAGCTTGTTGTCTCACTTTCTCCATCGATAGTGACTTCCCAGTTCCAGGGCAGCCACATATGTACAAACTCCCAGCCTTCTTCTCTTCCATACAACCTTTTACAAACTCTAGAACCCGTTTTTGCTCATTCTCACGGCATACAACAGTCGATGGCGCCTTAGACACATGCAATGCCTCCTTCACAGCTTTCATTTGGTCATCATCTGCGCATTACAAAACTCTATCAATTATACATCAACTAATATCAAAGAGCATTAGAATCTATTGAGCCACTGAAGGATCAGGAGGATTATCTTGTACCTCTAGGATTCCACTTTGACTTAACATCTAAACAATCGAATTGGTTTTTCACGGCTGATATCACTGGACTTTCCAATTTTTCATTAGAATCTTCCTTAACCTCCTGCAATCGGATAATCAGTAACATATCTAAATTTCCAAAAACCGATCTAACAATTGAATAGATGATGATGATAGATGCCAAAAACCCAATAAGAACAACAATCTAATCGATCCCCAGACAATTAAACAACTCCTAGAAGATACGAAAAAGGAGCTCATCAGTTTACCTCCTTAAGCGTCCTGGGGCTTGAAACAGCACAACGACGAGGAGATTTCCATTTCATCGGCGTAGATACCACCGTCGCTGCAATCTCCGCGGCGGAATCCGATCTCAACTTGCGTTTCCGAGGAGTGTTGACTTCGGCGGATCTAATGCCTCCGATGTTCTCCGATCTAGCGGCCACGATATGCTTGCGAGGGGACGAACTGGGTCCAGCGATGGTAGGCATTGTAGGTTAGCAGAAGGAAAGGGGAAAATGGCGGGAGATCGGGGACGAGATTGAGATCCAATGGAATCGAAGTGAAGAATCAATCTCATGGTCGATACTGGTTTTTAAGAGATATCGAGAGAGGAAATGGTAGAAAAAAATAATAATGAAAAAAAGAAAAGAAAAGAAAAAACAAAGAGGGAAAATGGAAGTAGCGGGAAAACGTTATACACAGAGTTTTTCGCTGCCCGCTTTTTATTCGGATGCCGTTTTGAACAATCAGCTTCGCGGCAAAATTATTAGGCTGTGTCACGTTTGGAACAATTTAAGGCCTAATCTAAGCCCTTTAACGGCCCATATATATAATGTATAGTTCAGTTGAACGATCATCTTTTTATTTCTTTTGTTATTTACTACCAGTTTACTTACATACATTTACACCATCGATTCTCTTTGGCAATCGCGAAAGAACAAAAAATATTGAGAAAATTGATAATACTATTTACGTGAGGGAAAAACGGTAATTTAGTGTCTCAAACTAAAACCAAATCCAAATGTGACTAACAGGGTCGATTTGGCCAAACCCATTAAAACATTTGTTTTAGTTCCTAAATTTTTTAGTCTAATTTAGTTTACAAAAATTTTAAAAATATTTTTTTTATAAAACCAATTATACGCCCCCATTTCTGTTTTTGTTTCAAGTCCCTAAAATCTCAGATCCGGCCCTAATAACCAAACTTGTAAATATTAAGAGGTTGAGGTATGTTATGAATGGTATCATAATTTAGGTATGTAATTTGGTTTTGAGTCATGAGGCTAGTGTTTTTTCTCGTTTTCTTTGTGATTTTACATGTTCCAAATTGATAATAGTACATTTACATATATTTGGTTGGTTTGATTTTAGTTATTTGGATTTCCGATAATTAGAAATTTGAAAATATATCATACCAGGAATAAATTTTTTTTTCGGTTCATCGAATTCACAACTTTTTTGTTAATTCAGTTGTTATACATAAAATTTGGTTTTCAGATAATTTAGTATACAATTATTTATATTCCCAATACTGATGAATATCAGTTTGTTATATTCGTTATAATTTGTTTTTCCTATAGATTATAGACATGAAAACGTTTTGAAACTATATTTATAAACAGTATCATAGTTCATGCACTATATACAGTTTTACCATTTACGTGCAAACCGGACTCCTCCAAGACGTTTTAAAGAGTGAGGGGCTCAGATGCCATAAGGGAGAAAAAAAAAATCTCGCCTGCCATAACATAATCTAATGCCATAAATCATTGTGTATTGACGTTTTTAGCCTTAATGAACTGATTATAAAATTAAATAAAATCGTTTATTTTTAAAAATAAAAATAAAAGCTGCAAATAAGCTTCTTCTTCCCCGAGCTAGGTTTCCGTACACATCCGCCGCAGAGAACTTGATTCGAACCACCGTCGTTTGCTGGCGCCGGCTCATTTTTTGTTGTTTAACTACTCTTTCTTATCCTGCCATTTGTGTGAGAAGACTTCGAAAAGGTATGGTGGTGTGTATTTTGGGGATTTATAAATTAGGGTTTTTTTTGTTTGTTTGGTGGTCGTTTAACTATGTACATTGCCTAAGTTTGTTGTTTATTGGTTAAGTTCTCTTCGAGTCGATGTTAATTTGTCAATTTTTAGTGTTGAATCTGTTTGGTAGATGTGAAACGAGGATGTGAAACCCAAAGATTTTAGCCAAGAAAGTTTGGGAATTTAGATAACTGGTACAAAAGGTATAAGTAAAAGATACGGGACAAGTAGTACAAATGGTAGAACTGATAATTATGGGACAACTAGTACAAGTCTCTGTTAAGACTGATAATGTGGGACAACTAGTACAAATGTTATAGTGAGAAATTCGGGACAACTAGTATAAAAGGTATAACTGTGAAACGTAATTGGTAATATTATTTTTTATTTGCTGCGTATACCAGGATATAATGAGCATTGGCCACACCAACATAAATTTTGAGTATGGAGGATATTATTCACGGAACAAACGACCAACAGGTGTAACCCAGGAGTTTAGTCCAGGAACAAACGACCAACAGGTGTAACCCACGAAGAACTGGACAACTGTGTTTTTTTCATCTAATCATGTTTTAGGACATCTAGACAGCTATGTACGTATGTTGTCATTTTCATTTGTTTCATATGTTTAGATATCGGGACAACTGGACAACTATTACAACTATGTTGTATTTGTGAAGTACAATTGACGTTTCATATGTTTGAAATTGGGACAACTGGACAACTAGTACAATTATGTTGTATTTGTGAGGTACAATTGACGAATCATATGTTTGAAATTGGAAAAATTGGACAACTAGTACAACTATGTTGTATTTGTGAGGTACAATTGACGAATCATATGTTTGAAATTGGGACAACTAGACAACTAGTACAACTATGTTGTATTTGTGATGTACAATTGACGAATCATATGTTTGAAATTGGGATAACTGGACAACTAGTACAACTATGTTGTATTTGTGATGTACAATTGACGAATCATATGTTTGAAATTGGGACAACTAGTACAACTATGTTGTATTTGTGATGTACAAGTGACGAACCATTTGTTTGAAATTGGGACAACTGGACAACTAGTACAACTATGTTGGATTTGTGATGTACAATTGACGTTTCATATGTATGAAATTGGGGTTTAGTACAAACCCTAGACAACAATGAAAGATATCTAAAATGAGGTTTTAAGGAAGCTTCAGAAAATGGGATAACAAATTATAAGTTTAGAGTCATAATATTGGTTTGACACTAAACACTCCTTATAAAACAAGAGAGTCTTCACTAATACTCATCACATGATGATGGATAAATGCAAATGTTTGGATTTAATCAAAACGGATTAATCAGGACTTTTTAATTGTGGTATGAAACTTCAAACAAATATAAACAACTACAATATGTGGTATATGGTCATGGGTCAACTGGAAATATTTGAAAAAGCTTAAAGTACAACTCTTACAAATATTGGACAACAATACAAGTACGTTCAACTATATGATAACCCTTATCATATTATATTTGCACGTGAAGCACATGTGTTTACTATGGCGGCAGAATAATTAAATAGTTTTTAAAATCTCTTTTCTTTAAATTGTTCTTCCTCATATTCTACTGAGAACTTCCTCCTTTTTTTAGGGTTTCAGCCGCAGAGCAATTTCGCAAGATTAAGATAATGTCGAAGAAGAAATCTTCCTAAAAAAGACTGCCTTTCCGCCGAAGGATTACGGATGACCACCAGGTGGGGGCCCGAAGTTAATGGAGTCCGCACCATTCTTCCATGTCCCAGACAGATGGGAATTCCCAAGGTTTGCCACCACGGAATTGCTCCAATTGGCTGTTTAACCGACCATTCAGCGTTAGATAGGGGACGTAGGTACTTTGGTTGTTTTTATGGTTGCCATAGTTGAAGAGATTGAAATGGTAAAAGAAACTCAAGAGGATATGAAGTCTTTGTTTGATGTCATTATCTCGAGAATTGAAGCTCTTGAGGCTGTTGTGACCAAGAAGAGTTGCTCGAAGGAAGTTTGAAGCTCAAGATCGTTTGTTGAACCTTGTCCTACATCGTTGTCTTTGTTTCTTGAACCTTGTTGTCCTTTATTGTCCTACATCGTTTAACTATGTTGTCCTTTATTGAACTACATTGTTATCCTTTACTGAACTACTTTGTTGAACCTTGTTGTCCTTTATTGTACTAATTTGTTGAACCTTGTTGTCCTTTATTGTCCTACATCGTTTAACTTTGTTGTCCTGTATTGAACTACTTTGTTGAACCTTGTGGTCCTTTATTGTCCTACACCGTTTAACCTTGTTGTTCTTTATTGTCCTAAATCCCAAAGAGTTGACCATTATTGTCCTAATATGTCCCAAATCCAAACAAATGTCCAAATTCGAATATCAAACATAAAATCCACAACATAAACTAAACATCCGCAAACAACATAACCTGCAACTTAAAAGAAAAACATAACATCCAGAAAACAAGATAAACTGCAACATCCGACACTTCTACTTCGATAACATCCAGTCTCCTGCTCTTGTTCTTCACCCTCCTGCTCTTGTTCTTCAGCCTCATCCTCTTTTTCATCAGCCTCCTGCTCTTGTTCTTCGGCCTCCTGCTCTTCTTCTTCAGCCTCATCATTTCCCTCCTCTTGTTCATCAGCCTCTTCATTTCTCGAATCTTGTTCATCACCCTCCTCCTTTCCTTCCTCTTCTTCATCACCCTCCTCCTTTCCCTCCTCTTCTTCTTCACCCTCCTTTCCCTCCTCTTCTTCTTCGCCCTCCTCCTTTCCATCGTCTGCTTCATCACCCTCAGCCTCCTCTTCTTCTTCCATGGGGTTTATCGTTTCGGTTTCATCTTCTGTGGGGATTTTTTGGGCTATGGTCTCCTCGATAGGATTCGGAGAGGTTTCCTTCTCCATTTCTGTTTCTGAACTACAAACATCTTCGCTTGTCTTTGTCGCGGCTTCGGTGGGAATAGGGTTTACAACGGCTTGAGGAATATTTCCTTTCTCTTTATCGGCGGCTTCAGGATTTACTTCAGATTCTCTCGCTGCGGCTTGAGAATGCGATTCCGTTTTAGGCAACGTTTTCCGACTTTCAGTTGACTCATACTCGACGCCTTTTTGTTTCACACGAGTCATGGAGAAGTCGTAACGAACCGAAGATGGAGAAATCGATTAAAACGGAAGTTGTAGATGGTGGAGTAGAAATAAAACGAACGCAATCGGTTAACTTCTATCAACACTCGCCGGATTTTACGCCGGAAAACTCTCTCAAATCTTTTTTCGAATTTCAATTAACTGTGTGGAGGTTTTTTTCCAGGAACTGATAAAATGGTAAAGTAAATTAGGGTAAATACAAAGAAATGCGGGTCGAATCCGATTTTAATTGGGTGAGTTTTCAAATGCCCAGATATTGTTGTAATTAACGAGACATTCATGTATAGGGTAGTAAACAACCACTTTTTTGCTATTTAAAAAAAAATAAAAAGGAATTGATTATACGAACGATGGCATTGGGGCTCTTTCTTCAGCGATTTATGGCATTTTAGCATTTGATTCGTTTTAAACTTGTAGTTTTAAACTTCTAATAAGATTTCACCCTCAATCTCGATATATCAGAATTATATAATCCAGAACTTTTGGATCAGAAGATAGAAATATCTAGGTGATCGATGTGTCAATGCACTTATATTTATTTATTCCCTCATGTATATCGTTCAATTATAAGCTATCGACATAAAAACGACGGGAAGATATTTTCTTGATCTATCTGGTTCATTAGATAGTTTATGAAAAAAATGGATATCCACATATAAATTGATGATATATTATATGATACGTAGCCAAAAAAAGCAACTAATGTATAGATACATAAGAGGAAAATGAAGGAAGTTTTCGATAAAATACTAGGTAGATAGAAGATAAGAGATGATAAGAGTCAGTGGTGGCCTTTGTAATATCTCTCTCCTTTTGGTTCTCAAATTGCCTATAGCATCTTATCAAGAGCCACTTCTCTAAGATTTTCCTAAGCATGTGTTTGGCTCTATATTGTTTCAATTACATAAAATTTATATTGTTGAGTTCATCTAAATTCATAAAATGTTGGATTTAGTTATATAAAAAAGTTTCCAACTCCGCAGGGTTTTTTTAATCGAAAAACATAGTGAAATATTTCTTTTTGTGAGTGATCTCGTCTCTTTGTTGGAATTCATATTTGAGAGATTTTGTACCATTTTCAAGAAAATCTGGAATTTATGAGCTAGTGACACTTAATTTGAGTGTATGTTGGGAGTGATTTTCGCCAACAAAAAGATCTCTGAAGAAACTGATAGACGACCAAACCTTCTAAACGACCAGTATGCAATTGATCTCAGCACTCTTACCCGCATGAAAATGCCCATAATATCTTCTTTTTGCCCACCGTCCATCATATCAATCTTCATAAACCAAACCCCTTAATATCACATGGTGTCTTCTACCATTTTTCTATTTGTTTCTATTTACCCTCCATACGTTTTCGGACATTTAGTGTTTGATTTTCTGATTTGTCTTAATACTCTGATAATACTTGTCGCTGCCCTTCATCACTTACATAATTCACAACCAACATATTTTCACCTTTTTGAATTGTATATTTCCCAACAGACAAAACAAATAACCTCATATGTATACCATCTCTCACTAGCTAGATATAAACTGTAAAGAACATATATTACTTAAATTGACGAGCCATGCTGAAAATACGAGAATATTTTAATAGAAATAAGTGGATCCCGCATGATTTAACCTACCGTCGATGGTCCACATCAACATTGTGATGGGCTGATGGTAAAAATAAAATAAATTATCATCACAACAGGGATTTATAAGATGTATGTAAACTTTTTGTTAATAAGATAAGGATGAGTATGATTTATTATGTGTCCTATAGCAAAAAAATGATTTGTTCTGTGTCAGTACGGAAAAAATCACACACACACACAACTGCTCTTAATATGTTCTTATTTTACATCTACCATTCTTCTTCCGGCGATTCCAATCATACATTAATTAAAGTTGGTAAAACTTACTCCATGTAACAAAAAAAAAATTAAATTCAGTTGTCTATATCGACTGTACTTAATAACTTCTCTAAAACGAATGTATAAGTTCCTTCGAACTATGTTTCAACAACACATTTCACATCCGATATTCCTATAGTCACGAGACGATATAACTATTATATTAAATCCCCATTTTTTTCCAACGAATTTTCTCGATGGTCCAAATAGAGACCATAATAAATAATTAAAGGTATAAAATCATGATGGGGCTAGATTCAACCGTAAGTGATTTAAATGAAATTGAATAAACTTAGGGAATGAATAAATATACAATCAATGATGTGTGAGAAGAGTCCAATGAAAGAACAATAAATATCAACCGTTAAGAAGATATGAGCAAATACCAAACGAGAGCCGTCAATTCTTCATCTTCTTCTAATGTCGCTGTCTCAACGACCTTAGCTTACGGCAAGTTGGCGCAGATCTTTCTCTCCTTCTCCACCGTCTATTTTTCACCCCTCTCATCATTTTGGTCCGCTCCAACAAGATATATATCACCGGTCATCACACTTGTGTTTTTTCTTGACATCGATTTTTCGGTTAGGTTTCGGTTTGCATAACTAGTTACATGTGGTCTACTGGATCGGAGATCGGAGTATCATATCTACAAATACTCCAAATAGAACTCAAATGATGCATGCATTCAATAAATTACCAAAATAGTTCATTTTCCTTCGATCGGACATGAACCCAAAATGAGCAATACATTTCATCCATCACTTATTTAGTTATTTGTTACAATCATTGTAAATCAAGAAATGACTTGCTTATACATATAATAGTCAGTCAGGTGTTTTTAGTTCTACAAGTTGTATTAGCTAGGCGATATTTTACAAATTGTGTTTCAAGATTAAAAGATGGCTAATAATATGCAGCATATATATGCAGTTCTCTAGCCAACAAAATTTATGGACTGCAGATCATAGACTTATTGGTAATAGAAAAAAAGTTGAACTGCATAGTCATATACATCAACAGTGTAATCATAATCTTGAAGATACAATTATTGTACGAGTATTGTGGTAACTTATTGTTGTCGCTACTTTGGTAACATATTCTGTGCCAACTTTTCTAATTTCCCAATTTACCTTGGTAACATAATTTTCTATATACGGTATGTCGTTCCTTGCAACATTAGAAAATGATTGATCTCACATTTCATGTATTGTGATAACAATAGAAAATATTGATCCCAACTTTCATGTATACTATTGTTTTTTTTTTTTGTGAAGAAAATCATGTATACTATTGTTATGATGTTTTTGGTAAATCCATCAATTTGAATCACTCGTATTTAGATAAAATAAAAAAGAGAAAAAAATCTGTCATATATGTTGATTGTGGTTCTCAACTATTCAGAGATCAGTTCGGTAATTCGAGTTCGAGAGATTAAATTGATTGAGATTTATTAAGTATCCAATTACAGTTCGTTCAGTTCGGAGGTCTCTCGACGAATTCAATACAATATTCAGGTCTATTCTCCGGGTCCGAAAAGATCTCTTTTACAGTAACATTTCTACTATTTATAGTACATAAGCGAGGAGATGTTCTAAGGCTTCTCGTTCAGCTCTCACCGCCTCTTGTTGCTGGGCTTCTTTCTCATAGGCTGCGCTGTCAGGTCAGGCCCATTTCGGCTAAGACCATCGTAAACCGGGTTCAATTGGGCCGGTCTCGGTCTTTAACCGGTCCGAACCGGGGAGCGGAGCGTACCACCAACAGTATGTCCCCCCCCAGTTTGGCAAATGGACCTGACTGACTTTTGCCGATTTGGGACTGGATCGGTTATAGACCGAGGTCGGTGACGTCGAGTTCTCGACTTACACCCTTCTTCATTCCTCCGGTGTCTTGGCAAGGGTATTTAAGTATTTTCGCTCGCGGGGAACTAAAAAGACGCGTCAGTTTAGGCAGGAAATCGAAACGTTACGAGGCGCGGAACTCGAGAAGTCACAATGATTCGCTCTTCTTCTATAAATACGGTTCAGCTCTCCCCATTTCTCACTTTCGCTCCTACTGCCAAGGTATTTGCTCTCCCTTCTCTCTAAATTTTCTTCTCTCTCTCTAGAATTCCGGTCGCCGTCCGCCGTGCTCTCTCGTCGACGGTTGTTCTCTTGAGTTCTCCGACGATGTCTTCCGACTCTTCCTCTAATTCCGAGGTCGCCATTCTTCCCAAACACCGTAGGGAGGAAACTTCTACTAACATCTCGAGCTCGGGATCTACAGAACATTCTTCGAACGCTTCCTTGGTTCGCAAGAATTCCCGTGTCGTCGAGGTCGGCTCTGGTAGCCGAGTTCCAATTCGGGCTCCAGAACGGATGGATCGAGATCTCCGCGAGCCCGAAGGCCAAGTTCCTACCGACCTGGTCCAGGGGCGGGAACCTGATGTGAAGACAGATGAGGACGCTCTATTGCACGAGGTCGGGGAAGGAGGAGCGCAGGATCCAGACGACGATGATATGATGTTGATCGTGGATCGGCCATGTGTATGTGCCCCGGTGAAGTCTACCTTGTCATCTCCGGAAACGGTTCGGGCTGCTATGTTGATCGGCGGAGCCCTTCCTGGAATCATTATTCAAGTTCCTGAACCGGAAGAGCGCCCTTGGGATGCACCCGAGGGTTTTATCTGTGTCTACGAGGCCTATTTCCGCGAGGCCGGATTGACTTTCCCCTTGCCCCGCTTGTTGTTCGCCTACTGCAATCGTCGCGGCTGCGCGATATTGCAACTTCAGCCGGCATCGATCGTAAACTTTGTTGGGATTCTCCAGCTCGGGTGTGACGTCCGGGCTCACATCAACGTGGCCCAATTCGAGGAGCTCTTTATTATGAAGGTCTCGTCGGCCAAAAGCTGGTTTCTGTCAGTGAATTGCAACCCGAAGTTCGACCTGGTCACAGGGAACAAGGCTAGCAAATTCCCGAACTGGGATCAGAGTTACTTCTTTGTTCGCGTTGACTCGTTATCTGCTGAGAATCCGGAGAGCACGTTCCGGACTGGCTGGAGTGTCGATTTCGGTACATATCTCATGGTTGACTCTCCTGTTCCTTGGTCGATACTGAGAAAAATTCTTTGCTTATGCAGATCGTCACGTTCCAGGATTCATTCAACGCTCCCTCACGTCCGACCTTGCAAAGCAATTAAGTCTCGCCGGACAGCGCCGTTGGCCCCTTGCCTATCGGGAGAAGATCGACCGCCGGATAAAGAGAGCTCAGGATAGAGGTATGAATTCTCGGGTCGTCTTGAATTTGTTATCACTTAGTTTTTTTTTATTTATGGTTGACACACTTGTCTTTTTTTTTTCTAGCCAAAACTAAGGCGGAACCCAGCTCGTCGAGGCCGGTACCGAAGAAGAAGAAAACGAGGAAAATCAGCAAGTCAAGTCAGAGAAGGATGGCATTCGACAGATCTGACATTCCTATGATGGACTTTGGGGCTGACGAGAAAGAAGATAATGCCCTGATCGATATTTTCGGTCTCGACGGGAATGAGGCCGGTGATGGCGTTGAAGCCGCTATCGGGGACGAAGTCGACAATGTCCCGGTCAGCCCGGTTGACCCTCTGATCCCGGTTGCGGTACCGGAGGGCGACGTGGCGGGAACTAGTGTTCCTGAGGCGACTCCTGAGCCTCAAATGGAGAAATTGGTGAGCAGGATGAGGAAGAAGGGCAAGTCCTCGAAGAAATCGTCTCGGAAGAGGGGTGGTGATCCCGAGACTGCTGCGAGCGAGGGGACTCTCGTTCTTCGCGAGTCGCTAATGCTTCTCAGATTTCCCCAGCGGATCCGGCAGCTGAGACCGGAAACCTGAGGTCGTCCAAGAGGCGTCGGACCTCTGACTCATCCTCTTTTTCAGTCCGGCTTCAGTACAACAAAGACCGGTCCTTTTTTGATGACTCGACTGCCTGCGCTGAGGTCTTCAGGCAGATCGTGCTGGCCTCGTCTCCGATGCCTGAGACGAAGGATCTCTTCCGCCCCAAGTCTTATGCTCGGGTCGCGAAATCTGCCTCTGCTGTAAGCTTCTCTCTATCTTGAATACTTAGAAATTTCTTAATCTTGGAATGTCTGACTTCGATTTCCACTTTCAGCTCGTCTGTGATACCAACGAGCTTGTTCGCGAGTACGACTCCGAGGTCGAGAGGCTGAGAAAAATTAACGCCGAGGTTGCGGCTGAGAGGGCGTTTTTGGAAGCGTCGTACCGGGACGAAAAAGAAAGGTACGAGGCTGCTGTCCTAGCCTTCACCGAAAAGGATAAGGAGAACGCTGCCTTGAAGGAGCAGGTAGGGGCTCTGGAGAAGCGGACTACCGAGCTGGAGGGGGATATGGACGCTCTGTCCAAGTCGTTCTAGGCGAGCGAGCTCGAGAGGCGAAAGTATCGAGACGCCGAGTCAAAGGGCTGGAAGATGATGGCCGTGCTCAGAGGCAAGTGCCAGGGGAAGCTTGCCAAGATGAAGGACTTCATGGACTAGGCTAAGCTTCGGAAGGCGCCGTTCCTCAAGCTCAATCAGGCGACAGCTCTGGTCAGCTTCTGCGACTTCCTTAGGAGGGAGCATAACATGATCGTCCCGTCTCACATCGTGGAGACGTATGCGCGTAGGGTCAAGAACTGCACGAAGGAGGTCGATGCCGTCCCTCTTCCGTGGTTTGAGAACGAAGACTTCCTCCTCCCGAGTGACGACGATCTTATCCCTAGGATTGTGCTTCCGCCGGGGACGCAGGTTCCGGAGGGCTTGGATCAGTTTGGCTCGAACTCCAGGTCCATCTCGGCTGATCAGGCAGCGAGTCTGAAGAGTCCGGCGTCCGTCGCTCGCCAATGATTCCTCTAGTTTTCCTTAACTTTATTTTGATGTTGTTGTAAAGACTATCTTACCCGCTTAGCTCGGGTCTTAACTTAATGATTCGTTTTGGTCGCCGTTTTTGGGCGTTGTATTTGTTGCTGTCTAGTTCGGCAATTTCGGGTATTTAATGAAACGAATATGATTTTGTTTTATCGCGATTTTTTACTTAGAACTTTCCTTTCTCATATTTTAGTGCGAACTGTTGGGAGTTCGGCTTGTTTTCGTTGGATTCGGAGCTCGTGATGTTATTGTGACGATGCAGGCGAACTCGGGGGGCTCTCCGAACTTGAATTGCGGTTGGCGGATTGCTGTTCGGAAGAATGAGTGCGGATTGGGTTCCGGCTTTGAATAGTGGGCACCGTGGGGATGCGGGCGAGACGGATCTCGGCTTTTAAGATTGTATTCATGGGGAATACTTAGTTCGATCTCCTGGCCGGGGAATCGATATGTGGAGTTAGTGACAAAATGAAAAAGATGGATTTTTATTGGATTTGTAGCTGGACTCGGAATCGAGCTGCCTACCTACTCTTTTGCAAGGAATCAAGCCACTCGTAGTTCAGTTTACAGGGGTGAGTTCGGTCGGAGCCGGACTTTTTTTTTTTTTTTTTTTAAATCCGAGCTCGTGGTAGCTGGGACTTAGTAGTAGTATCGTTTGAGGTTGGCTGAGTTCCATGATCGCGGGATCGGCGTTCCGTCGAGTTGCATGAGTTCGTAAACTCCGGGCTTGACGATTCCCAGTTCGTTCCCAGCTTGCCGGCGTTTAACTCCTCGGTGTAGTGGAACACCTTGCGCAGAACGAGGTCGCCTTCATCGAAATGCCGACCTCGCACTTTCTTGTTGTAATAGCGAGCAGCGAGCTTTTGATAGTTCTGGATTCGGAGAAGAGCTAAGGTTCGCTGTTCTTCCAAGTTATCGAGGTTGTTGAGCATCCTCTGGTCGTTGAGGTTGGGGTTTTCAGGGAACACGGAATATCTTAATGTTGGGATGCTGACTTCTGCCGGACAGAGTGCTTCAAGTCCGTATGCTAAGGAGAAGGGGGATTGCCCAGTCGATCGTCTGGGAGAAGTTCGATGCGACCATAAGACTCCGTCGAGTTCGTCCGCCCAAGTGCCTTTCTTAGCCTCAAGACGCTTCTTTATGCCGTCCAGGATGGTTTTGTTGGTTGCTTCGGCTTGAACGTTGCCTTGCGGATATCGCGGAGTCGAGAAACTGAGACGAATTTTGAACTTCGCGCACCAATCATTGAACGTCTCAGCAATGAATTGTGGTCTGTTGTCCGTGATGATCTCGTGAGGGACCCCATGGCGGCAAATGATATACTTCCAAACGAATTTTTGTACGTCCAGTGCGGTGATCTCCGAGTACGCTTCGGCCTCAACCCATTTTGTGAAGTAGTCAGTCATAATCAAGATGTACTGTTTTTGACTTGTTGATCGGCATAAAGGGCCAACGATGTCCATAGCCCACCGCATGAAAGGGTACGGGGCCGTACTGGTTTGCAGCAGCTCGGTCGGCACGTTAATCATTAGACCATATCGCTGGCACTTATCGCACTTCATGACAAACTTCTCGCAGTCCGCGTTCATTGTCAGCCAAAAATAGCTGGTTTTTTTGATTTTCAGAGCAAGGGATCGACCTCTTGAGTGATTACCACCGGATCCTTCGTGGATTTCGCGCATGATCTCGACTATATCGTTCCCTGAGACGCAGGCCAAGAGTACTCCGGATACGCTCCAACGGTACAGTTTATCTTTATGCATTGTGTAGTGAGCAGCCCAGACTTTAAGACGGCGAGCAGCCCATTTGTCTTCAGGGACTTTGCCGTTGAGGAGGTATTTTCGCAGTTCGGCTGTCCAATCTTCGGCGGACTCGTTCCCCTGGTTTTCACTGGTTGATGGGCTATGAATTCCTTCAGTTATGTGCTCGAAGTCGTGATCGGCGGCTGGATCCTCGAGAGTCTGTTCGGCATTATCCTCAAGAACCTGCTTGGCATTCTTGCGTTGCGTTTTTGACGAGGTCGGATTTTCGTCATAGTTCCGTCGTCGGGTGGCAACATTGCATTTCAGCGCGGTCTTGATGCTTGGTTCAGAGATACTCTCGACCGGGATTTTTCTCTTCATATGCGGGTCGGAACTGGAAGCTAGGGCGGCTAACGCGTCGGCGGACAAGTTCTCGCCGCGAGGGATTTTGGTGAGTTCGAACGTCTCAAACTGCGAGATGAGTGCCTTAGTCGTTGTTAGGTACGCGTCCATTCGTTCGTTTTTGGTCGTGTATTCTCCGCTTAATTGACTCGCGACGAGCTGCGAATCGCAGAAAGCGTGAATATGTCGCACACCGAGCCCTTTAGCCAATCGTAGTCCGGCAAGTACGGCTTCGTACTCAGATTCATTGTTTGATGATGAGAATTCAAGGCGGAACGACTGTTCGAGGATCTCGCCGCTTGGAGACTATAGGCGGATTCCGACACCTGATCCCCGGTGCGATGACGATCCATCGACATGTAGAATCCATAGCTCAGGGGCAGCTGTTCGACAACGAACTCTTTTGGGAGCTCGATCAGAAAATCGGCGAGTACTTGGGATTTCACGCTAGTTCGGTTCTTGTATTCTATATCGTACTCGCTTAGCTCGACGGCCCATTTCGCGAGGCGACCTGATTGGCTTGGACTGTGTAGAATGGTTCGGAGCGGCTGGTCGGTTAAGACTGTGATTGAATGGGAATGAAAATATGGCCGAAGTTTCCGAGCAGAAGTCACCACTGCGAGCGCCAACTTTTCTAAAGTCGGGTATCTGGCTTCGGCGTCACTTAGCGATTTGCTGACATATAATATGGGACGATGTTCCCCCTATCTTCGCGGAATAGAACACTGCTAACCGCTGAAGCGGAAATAACGATATATAAGAACAGCATCTCGCCATTCTTGGGTTTAGCTAGGATGGGGGGAGTCGAGAGATACGTTTTCAGCTGCTTGAAAGCATCTTCGCACTCGGCACTCCAGGTATAATGCTTGTTACCTCGCAACAACTGGTAGAAAGGCAGACACTTATCCGTCGATTTGGAGATAAATCTGTTCAGAGCGGCGATTCGGCCTGTGAGTTTTTGCACTTCCCTTTTTGAAGTCGGGGAAGGTAGGTTTAGAACTACGGATATCTGCTTTGGGTTAGCCTCGATGCCGCGCTCGGTGACGATGTAACCCAGGAACTCGCCAGCTGTTATGCCGAAGGTGCATTTGGCGGGGTTGAGTTTCATCCCGTACTCGTTCAAAATGTTGAAACACGTTGATAGGTGAGATACGTGGTCCTTAGCGTGCAGGGATTTAACCAGCATGTCATCAATGTATACTTCCATCGTTTTTCCGAGCTGACTGGAGAACATGCGGTTCACGAGTCTTTGATACGTGGCTCCCGCGTTCTTGAGACCGAACGGCATGACCTTATAGCAGTAGATTTCTCGATCTGTGATGAACGAAGTCTTTTCCCGATCATCCGGATGCATTAGGATTTGGTTATACCCCGAGAAGGCATCCATGAAAGATAACAGTTCGTTGCCGACAGTTGCCTCTACCAACTGATCAATGTGCGGTAGTGGGAAACTATCTTTGGGACAAGCTTTGTTAAGGTCGGTGAAGTCGACGCAGATCCTCCACTTCCCATTCTTTTTCTTCATGACTACCGGGTTTGCTAGCCAGTCCGGGTATCGAACTTCCGTGATCGAACCGGCTTTGAGCAATTTTTCGACCTCATCGTTGATCGCTCGCGCTTTCTCGGGTCCGAGCTTGCGCCTCTTTGCTTGATAGGTTTATATGTAGGATCGATGTTCAGCTCGTGGCAAGTGATGTCTGGACTGATTCCGGGCATGTCGCTGATATTCCATGCGAATGTGGAGACGTTCTTCTGGAGGAAGCTGACGAGTGCTTCCCGAATATTGTTGTCGAGTTCGGCCTCTATGCCGACACATTTTTCTGGATCTGTCGGATCAATGCAGACTTGGTCGACCTGGCTCTGTTTGGGTGGACCGAACTGACTTACTGCGGCCGCACGACCTTCCTGAAAGGGGCTGATGACGCATGTTCATGCGAGACTAAGCTTGCACTCGGTGAGATGACATAGTCGGGACGCGGTCTGGCTTCCTTTGAGGGTGAAAATTCCTGACGGGGTCGGGAACTTGACGCACTGATGAAACGTTGAAGCGACGGCTTTCATGTCGAACAGCCATGGCGTCCCCAAAATCGCATTGTATATTGCCGGTTTGTTGAGAACCAGGAATTTAATCATTCGGGCTGACCCGCCGACATAAATGGGTATCTTCACCGTTCCTACTGTCCTTGTTTTTTCTCCGGTGAATCCGGTCAATGATTCCATATAAGGCTTGATCTCGGAATCCGGAAAGTTCATATTCTTGAGTGTTTCCTTGAATATGACGTTTACCGAACTACCCGTGTCGATTAACATCCTGCTTACTTCAACGTCTTCGAGCTGAAGCTCCACGACGAGGCAATCGTTATAAGGCATATGTACTCCCCGCAGGTCGGCTTCGGTGAATAACAGTGGTACGGTTGTAACCGTTGTCTGGGGTTGCGAACTCGATGCTTGCCGGCTGTACTCTTTGAGGGCTCGAACGGAATAATTGCATGATTCGAGGGCTCCCATAATCATATTGACCTTCTTCCTAGTTTTAGGTACGTTCGTTTCTCTATTTGGTGCTTCGCGGTTTCGCTTAGGGGGAGCAACCTGTTCTTCATCAGAGTCGGCTGCCTTAGCAGTCTCTTAATTCCCGGGTATGTTTGGTCGCGGGTTCGGTCGCCGTGGTCCCGGTTTAGGCAGGTCTGCGGTGTCGATCTCGCCCTTGCGGAACTGTTGAAGTAAGAAGTCCCTCAGATGTCGGCATTCCTCCGTGCTATGCCCATATCGCTCGTGATATTCGCAAAAATGTTCGCTTAGCGGCGTATCGTCGTCTTTATGCCATGTGTTCCAAGATTTCGGCGGCCGTCCTGACTTTTGATTTGACAGTCCTGCCTGGTTCACTACTCCGCGCGGTTTGCCGGACTGGACTTTTGTTTCTGAATTATCCTTTGCGGTCAAGGTCTGGCCGGGCTTTGACGCTGAATACTGCCGATCTTTGGCGGCCTCTTCTTCTTCTTCCGCGATGAAGATGTTTGACTTGTGGAGCGCGTCCTCGAGGGTGAGGGGTCTGTTCCTGCGAAGCTCTTTATGAAAAGGTGATTTGTACCATGTTTTCTGGTATAAGGCTTCGAGGGCGGCCTCGTCGTCCACCGTGCAGTGCGCCACGATTTGCTTGAAACGTGCCATGAAGTCTCGGAGTGATTCGTTTTCACCTTGTGATATCTCCCACAGCTCGGAGTTACGGGTTTTCTGCCCAATGAACATCTAGAAATGCTTTGCGAATTTAGTCGAAAGCTCCTTGTAGTTATCGATGGAGTCGGCTTCCAATCTCGAGAACCAATCCAAAGCAATGCCTTCGAGGTGTTACGAATTTAGCATCGTTGCTTCGAACCAGCTCTTGCATCTGAGCAGCGAAGGCGTTCATGAGTGCGGTTGGATCGAAGGCAGCTGGCGAAGCCTGATGAGCTCCGGTGCTTGAGCTCGGTTCTGCCCTGATATGCTGTGCTACAGGTTGAGGTCGCACGGGGCTTTGCTCGCCTTCCCCCGTATGCCCTCCGACCTGGGTGGAGTCGTCAATACAGGTCGTTTGGCTTCCGACCTGGACTGAGGTCGGTTGTCCATCGTCGATCGTCATGTCTTCGAGGTCGATTACCGAATCGGCCCCACGGTGGGTGCCAATTATCGATTGTGGTTCTCAACTATTAGGGGTCAGTTCGGTAATTCGAGTTCGGGAGATTAAATTGATTGAGATTTATTAAGTATCCAATTACAGTTCGTTCAGTTCGGAGGTCTCTCGACGAACTCAATACAATATTCAGGTCTCTATTCTCTGGGTCCGAAAAGATCCCTTCTACAGTAACAATTCTACTATTTATAGTACATAAGCGAGAAGATGTTCTAGGGCTTCTCGTTCAGCTCTCACCGCCTCTTGTTGCTGGGCTTCTTTCTCATGGGCCGCGCTGTCAGGTCAGACCCATTTCGGCTAAGACTATCGTAAACCGGGTTAATTGGGCTGATTTCGATCTTTAACCGGTACGAACCGGGAGCGGAGCGTACCACCAACAATATGTACTGATAAATCACGAAAAAAGAAGAATATATAATTTTTGTACCAAGAATGAATAAAAAGAGGAAAAAACGAGGGAAAATCAAAATACCAAACACAGAGAGCCAAAAAAAAAACGAGAATGAGAACATAGACGTAAATCGCAATATTACCAGATTACATGGACACTATGGACCCACTCTTTTCGTCCGGCTGTTATTTTCACGCTCCTAGTTGATTTATTTTAATACCAAATTACCTACGTGGCTTTTCCAAGACCGTTGATCGGTTTTTTTAAAATAATTTAAATTTCTAAACATCTAGTGTCAGAAAATGACGAAAAACAAGAACCCAATAGGCTGGGAGAAGAAAATCAATTTGAACACGTGGCTTATTTAAAACCGTCGGATATAAAAATCCTAGTGGCTCTCCGGTTTATCATGTGAGTCGGTTCTTGCCTTCTCGGGACCGGCTACTTGTTTGTCAGGTTTTGAGCGTCGCTGTTTAACCGGCTTTAACCCGGTGATATTTATATTATTTTCGAGTTTAATTTACTTTTTCGATATTTTTGATAAACTCGTGCGCAAACCCAATCGCGTCTGTTATATAAAGGTCATCGTCTCACTTTCTCTCTCTCCGCGTTCCACTAATAAAGTGAAGCGTCTCCCTCGTGTGCTACTCCGCTTCAGGATTTTCCCGAGAAAAGTTTCAGCGAGAAAATTTCTGACGTAACTTGCGTTCTTTGACGGTTAGTCTTTCTTCCTCTCCCTTCTTTCTCTCGCTCTCGGTTCTCTAATTCGTTGAATCGTAGATTTCACAATCTAATAATTTATCTCTGACATTTCCATCGATTCTCGTGACATTAGCTTTCTGAGATCTGATTTCCATCTGCAATGATTCGTTTGTGGAATCTAACTCTTCCATTCTCATTTTGATTTACAGGAAGGCGTGAATCAATTTAGAAAAGCCATTGTTACAGAAAGTAGAATCTATCCAGATTTTCTCTGCCTCATATAGGAATTTTTTTCCAATGGAGGTGAAAGTAGCTTCCACTTCTACCTTCCTTCAATTCGCGGCTCATCCTTCTTCCTCTTCCCCTTCTCAAACACTAGCTTCCGGGGCCATATCAACCCCTTCAAGACGACGGAGCACCACCGTACACGATGGACGGTTTCTATCATGTCGTTTCGTGAACCGTTCGTCTCTCTTCGGATCTCCGTCGACGAAGCTCCACCGTTCCAAATCCTGCGAGCTATGGGAACCATCTAGACCAACCAAATCCCAGTCGATTCGAAGAGTTTGCAGCGCGAGCTTAGGTCCCTTCTCCGATGAGGAGTTTTCGAAAAAAATCCAGGAGCTAACTCTCAGATTCAATGTCTCCGAGGACGAAGATAGAGTTACGAACAGCGATTCCGATCTGATGATAATCCACGATCATAGTTACACCTCAATGGAGAAACCTAATTTACTAATTCGAGATTCAATCGAGCCGCCATGGCACGAGACGGTGCATTTCTCGAGCATCGAAATGAAAGCAAACAGCGTCGATCTTCCTCTCTCGCTTCGGATCATAAAGAAGAAGCGAAGACAGTGGGAAGAAGGAGCTAAACAAGCCGGAGAATCCGCGTGTGGCTCGATGAACAAAGCCTTCTCGTCAATGGTGTTCATGATTCGAGAGCTCCAAAGCTTTACTCTACATATGAGAGAGATTTTATTCTACGAAGACTTGCAAGGGATACTGCAACGAGTGAGAGAAGAGATGCACGCATCGTTCGTTTGGTTGTTCCAACAAGTCTTCTCAGCGACGCCTACGTTGATGGTTTACGTCATGATCCTCCTCGCGAATTTCACGGTTTACTCGATCGTTAGCAACAACCCCGCTTTAGCCGCCGCTCCTCATCCTCCGACGACCACCGTAACAACCGCCATTGAAACAAACGAGAAGTTCGATTCCTCGATGGTGAAAACGTTCTTTGTATCGTCTCCCAACGGGAATACAGCTTCCGTCGGCGGTAACAATAACGGCGGCGGAGGAAACATCCGGCCGGTGTTAAGCGGAACAGACGGTGATGGATTCGATGGATCAGAACAGTTCAGAACAATCATACCGGAAGGAGCTTCACAGTTGTCATCATCATCGACATTCGGGTTAACGACTAATACAGAGTCGGAGACATCAGTATCGGGACAAGATGAACTTAGGCTATGGAACTCGATAGTGGATGAAGCAGAGAAAATGCAGTATTCGAAGATAGACAATGCGTTGGATCACGAGACGAGGATGCGGTTTGTTTCTCCTTTGGATGCTCGAGTAGAAGCAGAGGAACACATGGATTACTTCAAAACAGAGCTTTTGTACCAAACAGGATTGTCTCAGGAGCCTAATAATCCTCTCCTACTCGCTAACTATGCTCAGTTCCTCTACATCGTCTCTAATGACTATGACAGGTAACTAAACGTTTCACTCCCAGTACTTAAGTCATGGGTTTTCGGTTAAATTTTATTTTAATCTTAGGTTTTTGTTTTAAGTTTGAGTAAACTTGAAGTTAGGGTCGAATCTTCCTTTTAGATTCTTCGGGGTGTGAATCCTGAGGCTGCAAGTTGATTGCTAACAGTCAAAAGTACGCGCAGTACTCGATGAATTTTTCTATTCACTAGTGGGGCATGTTTGTGGAAATTCAATAAGCTTAAATTTGTCATAATAATTGCATCAGCAGAATATAACCGACCAATAGTGTTGAACCAATTCTTTTCCTCTTCGAGTAAGATGAAGACAGTACATAAAAATATCTCACAAGGGAATAAATACAGAAATAGGATTTGTTCTAACCAATGATTTTTGAGTCTTTGGGGTTTTGATGAAAGTTAAGTTCACGGTGTAGTTTTGAAGACTCCCCACCAAAATATCAAAAACAAGTTAAAAGGTGGCTTTGTCAAAAGTCATTGCCTCACTATTTCTCCTCTAGATTTATTCCCCACCCATTCTAATTAACCCATGTTTATGTTATTGGCTCTAATTTATAGCTAAAATAGTATTGTAGTTTACGTAGACTAAACACTTTTCTAAGCATTATAGATTCTAATCATTTTATTGATAGGGTCCTTGAAGCCATCATATTACTTTATATTTTACATGGTGATTCTATTGATTTTTAACCAATCTTTTTTTGTTTTTTTAAATATTAGCTAGACAATTCTGTCACGTTCTATCACCTATACGCAATACACATCATCATATGAATCTTTTGGCTTTTTAATGCATCTCATCTTTAAGACATTCACACATGGTCTTACTTATCTCTAATAAACTAGTGTCTCACGTGATTTCATATGACATTGTCGTGTAACAGAGCGGAAGCGTACTTCAAGAGAGCGGTAGGAGTGGAACCGAAAGACGCGGAGGCGCTAAGCAAATACGCGACGTTCTTATGGAGAGCACGGGACGATCTTTGGGCGGCTGAGGAGACTTTCTTGGAAGCAATCGATGCCGATCCGACCAACTCTTTCTACGCCGCTAATTACGCTAATTTCTTGTGGAACACCGGCGGTGACGAGACGTGTTTCCCTCTCGACGAGTCTCAGGAAGACAACACCATCTAGATAAGACTGTCCAACATCAAAAGTCTCTCTAAATAAACATTCTATACGACTAATGAATATATACATATAAATATGTGCATACCTTGTATGTATTTATGCATGTTTGTTATGGCCTATATATGTCACTAAAGAACTGTGGGTAAAAAGTGTTAATCCTTATGGTTACGATCAGTTTAGTGAAAGGAAGAGAGTATCTTCGGGTTCTGGTTTGGTATGGTAGTTGTTGTGCATGTGACTGAGTTAGATAGAGCACGTGAGATTGGAGCAGATCCCACCGCCTGTAGTTATGGGTCTTCAGTTTCACCTATGTGTGGTAGAAAGTGTCCTCTATTGTTTTTTTTGGGTATATTCTGTTTTTTTTGTCGACTTTTGGTATATTCAACACATTTGTTCTATTGGTTTGCACATAGGTAACTACCAAAACACTACAATAGTAACGCAACTTTGATTAAGCACATTTGTTTCTATAAAGATCATTTTAGTGGAGATTTAAACAGTCTAAAAACAAAGTAAAGCATTCAACTGCAAAATCTTTAACCATACATTTGTTAAAAAAATGTCATTATTTACGGATCCTATTGACGATTTTTTTTTGGGTGTTATAAACTTTTCAGTATTTTGATTTTTCTAATAAAATATCATTCAGCTTTAGAAAAAAATAACGCAACTTCAACATATTTTGGGTCCAAACTTCATTTATTAGTCATTCAACTATTTAAGTCATATGGCAATATTTATTTAATTAATTGTGCATTTCTATTTTCTAGTGTTATTTGTTTTTGTGGAACATTAGCGACAATGAGACATGCATGTTTTCCTCTCTCAAGCCTCTAGAGAATACCATCTAGACATAAAATGGTGTTACAACAAATTGAACCCTTAGTTTTAAGTCAAATGTCAAACACAATATACACGATATAAATACCATCAACAGCCAAAAGAGCAACTGGTGAAATTCATTCACTTGTGTATGTGGTGTATCTTGATCTACTGAAACGGAAAATCAAACAAGTATCCAGTATGGAGCGTATGGCTCCTTCTTGGATAGTACTTAGTAGATTGAAAATTAAATGAAATCTTGTATTTTAAATTAATATTTGGTAGAAAACTCTAAAAAAATAAGTTGAATAGAATTATGTTAAAACAGAAACAATTTGAAATAAATATTATGATTATTTTAAAAGTAATATTGATAACTTACTTTTTTCTAAAGATATACCTCTATATGAAACAAAAATTCAGATTGATCAATAATAAGTATTTAGTCTAAATTTAATATTGAAGTTATATATTCTTTAAATGAATTTTATTTAAAATTTGTTTTTAATATTGAGATTAGTGTGACACCGTTGACAAAGATTTTTTATTTTGTTTCTAAATCAAACAATAATGTGCTGGCTACCATGCATTTTTTCTCTGTATTTTATTCTTCTATATTACTTTTTAAAACATATTTTTATTTCATGCTAATACTGAAATTAGTGTGATATCTATTTTCCTTTTATTTCTACTAGGTTATTTTCTGCGCTAAGCTGTAGGTGATTTTGTTTTTTATTTATTTATAGGTTAATGTCAATGTGATGAACTTTTGAGTTCAGGGTTTATAATTGTAATTTTGGATATTACTGTTATTTCAAATTTAATTATACCTAATATTTTTACATATATATATTTGTATTTTTGAGTATTTCAGATATCCATTCGGGATTTGGTTCCCATTTAATTTTAACCATCTATATTTTTACGACTGTCTGATTAGTTCTCTTCCTCATATACAATTCGATCTGGTTTTGGTGAGTTTCTTCATGCCCGAGTAGTTTGGCCAGGGTAGCTCCATGCTTACTATTTTTTTTTTATTATTTTGTTCATGCATGATACATAATAGTTTTGTAGAGACATAAGTTAATATTGGCTAACATATCGAAAAGCACTCCGATAAAAACATTGTCTAAAATCAAATTAACTAAGTTGGGATAATAATATAAATATGCTGCACATCCCACTTCATGGTAGCTTGTCGAAAATATATAGCATGAAGTATGAAAAGTATTTTTCATTACTGTACATAAGAGATTTTCAAAGAGTATTTCTTACATTTTTCTTCAAAGCTCAACAGCTAAAATAAAATAGAAAGGAAAAAACAGTGCATAAGAGATCTTCAAAGAAGGAATTAAAGTTGTATTTTGGAAAGAAAAAAATTGCATAGTTAAAATTGGTCATTTTTAAAACTGTATTTCTTATAGCAAAAATAAGCTTTGAGTAAGAGACGGTGTAGAATGACTTTATGATCTCTGAAAACATTTACATTAATTGTTAGCTAGATAAGAATTGACAAAGTATATAGAATCAAGGTCTGAATACTACGGAAACATGTATTGAAATGCAAGGAAAAATAGTCTATGATTTACTTTCTTAGATATAGAATGTGTGTCTGGTTTCTCCTTGCTACTCCATAGTGCAAAAATTAAGCTCCTAGAAAAGGTTTCGAGGAGATGAGAAGCAGCTGGACATGAATACATCATGAACTGGTATTGTTAATGTGTATTTTTAGACAAAATCAAAAACAGAATGACTATTTAAATTTTTTGGCTATGATTTAAACTTGTAATCTACTAACATCAAAATCACGCTTACAAATAGAATAATCAAACATTTTATGCAATTGAGCCGAGCCTAGGAGGAATTTAGATGGTTAAGATCTACTAATAATTTACACTGTCAGAGAATTATATCTTATCTACTAAGAATTCCCAATATAACATAGAGCTAAGCGGTGAACTACCCATGGATAATAAATTAATTGAGTAAGTACCAACCATAGTTTAGAAATAAAGTAAATACAATTGACTAAATGCATTGTGTCCAAAAGTGCCCCTACGTCAAACAAAGATAGCGTCTACATCAGCATTAAATGTTCTTACCGTTTGAGGGGACATAAACTAAAAAAATACAATTGGTATCACAGAAAGATCCTGTAACGCCCTACCTCTTATTCTCATCCGTTCGTTAATAAAGAAAAAATCCGATTGGATTATCTGTAAAAAATTTTATCTCAGTTAACGTAAAAGATATCCGATTAGATTATCTGTAAAATTTGGATCAAAGAGACTTGAGTGTGGAGGTAGTTCCAACCAAAAAACTGATGCATTAATCTCAGAGTGAATATGGGAAACATACTTCAGCAATAGTTTTTGTTGTTTTATTGGGTGAAGTTGTTGTGGTATTAGAGGATGACTCATATAATGCTGATTTAACAGATAACATGTGGAGTTCAGACTTGTCACCAACTCGGAGGGGCGAAGACCAACGGGAAGGTGAACTGTAGTAGTGTTGTTGAATGTGAAACAGGAATAAGTTAGCATTCAATCAAGTGGAGTTAACGTTTATGTTAGTTATGAGTTAATTGAGTTATCTGATATATTTTTGTTTGTTATCAGGTAAATCTATTACAGAGTTAACCTCTACCAACATATACCATAATGTGGAATGATTGGGTTAGTGAGTATAGTTGGGTCTAAGTGACACGACTTAGAGTCCGCTGTCCTAAAATCCATTCTATTATTTTTGTTAAACAGATAATATATTGTTTTGACAAAAAACTCTTATTTTGTTGACAGATAATATGGTTGTCCGGTTAATGACGAATATAAGCTCTAATAGTCCAGTTATGTCGAGTGCAGATGCGACTTGGAAGATTGAATATGGAAAACATACTTCAGCAATAGAAGGTAATAGCTTTTGTTGTTTTATTATGTGAAGTTGTTGTGGTATTTGAGGATGACTCATATAATGCTGATTTAACAGGTAACATGTGGAGTTCAGGCTTGTCACCAACTCGGAGGGGTGAAGACAACGGGGAGGTGAGCTGTAGTAGTATTGTTGAATGTAAAATAGGAATAAGTTAGCATACAATCAAGTGGAGTTAACGTGTATGTTAGTTATGTGTTAATTGAGTTATCGGCTATATATTGTTGTCTCATATATTTTTGTTTGTTATAAGGTAAATCTATTACAGAGTCAACCTCTACCAACATATACCATAATGTGGAACGATTGGATTAGTGAGTATAATTGGGTCTAAGTGACATGAATTAGAGCCCGCTGTCCTAAAATCCATTCTATTATTTGTGTTAAACAGATAATATTGTATGTTGTTTTGACAAAAAAATCTCTTATTTTGTTGACAGATAATATGGTTATCTGGTTAGTGACGAATATAAGCTCTAATAGTCCAGTTATGTCGAGTGCAGATGCGGTTTGGAAGAGTGAGAATCAATACATTGGGCCCATTGGTGATTGCTACATATGTGTTACAAATCCGTTATCAATTAACTCGGTTATCAGCTAAACAAAGCTAACTAATCATGCTATAAGCAATACACTGTCACAGCTCTATAAAGTTTTAGTAGTTGCTTCGGTTATCAGGTAATCACATAACAGTATTTATTTTCTTTGTGGTCGAATAGTCTTTTGTCCATAGGATAGTTGACAGATTTCCTCTTATTCGTCATGTTCACCGGAAATCTCCCGCAGTTTAAACAGGTAACTATCTTGAACTTGCAAAAAGAGAATCTGATGGGATAACTAACAAATCAGATCCATATTTCATTCTTTCTCTTCACTTCTAGTTGTCAAGACAATAAGAACAACCCAAAAATTCCAGACCACGCCGGCATAGATGGAATGTCGATCAATTTACCAAAAGGCGATTAACGGATGAAACTGACCTCATATTCTTCCAAAGCGGATATAAGATCTTGTATAATGCTAAATTCTTATATGTAATAACCCCCTGGCCCCAAGGTTCAGCTCCGACGACTATAATCTTCTTTGTAACTCATTATCTAACATCTGCAAATCAAATGCCACTAACCCAAAAAATAACTCGGGAAATTGAAAACAGAACTCATCTTTACCATGAATTTCTTCAACAAAAACGATAACATGCACTAGATTAGTGAACGCTGGCGATAACAAAATTTGAAGACGGTTTTTGAGTTGGAGAGATAACCGATAACAAATATCGGTTTTAAACACAAACTCTGGTCTCTTCTTCTTTTTTCTTCCTTCCAAAATAATTATAAAAATATTTAAATCAAAAATCTTTAAAACTTGGATACTGTTGTCGGGATTACTGGCACATGCTATCTGACTGAGGGACCTATTTTTTTTTTTTAGCTCATTTTTACAGCAAACTTAATAAACTTAATATAGGGGTTCAATTGTCTTTTTATTGTGAACAGAACCATAGCACAGTACATAATTTTCACGGCTTAATTTCCAAAGTTTCTCTAGGCAGATTGTGCAATTACTATACAGCTCTACATAAAATACATAATGGAGTAGATATTTAAGTTTGTGTAATTATATTGATTGGGGGATTTATAATTAAAATTATATTTAATAGTGAATTGCAAATTATATTGATGGATAGCAAAATATTTTGTTTATATTATATTTAATAATGTATCTACATATGTATTTTCTGTATTAAAAATGGAAGAGTATTTTGTTCAAATATGCCAATTAGACTAATAAAGAGAAAATGAAGATAATATATATATATAATTATATATATATATTTATTGCTTAAGAGAAAAATACCACAGATTTATTTACATCTATCTTCTATATAGTTCAGTTCTTTTAAATATTTTTATACAATTGATGTTTTTTTTACATAAAATGTCATAAATATTACAGATATGTTATTGTTATTAATTTGAGATAATATACTAAAACAAAAATGTCAAGTGGCCCAAAAAAGAAAAAGTGAAACCTTACTTCTTATATATGATTATTGCTTGCTAGATTGGTCACTGGAACCAAAAACTACTTACCATTTTTTAAAGATCACATATAACACAATATAAATAGACACTAAGATCATATGAGAATCTCAAAACACAATCATAAAACACATAGATCGACTTAAAAACTTGAAAATACATGGCATCATCAAAGACAACATTGATGATACTTCTCGTCGCACTCCTTCTCTCATGTTAGTCTCTCTCTCTCTCATGCTTCTTTTATATTTGAATTGAGTGATTATTTGTTATATGATTGAATGTATATATGTAAATAGGTGTATGGATATCAAATGCAAGGGAGATGATGAAACATCCACGAGATGTGGAGTGTGTTGGAGCATGTCCACCGACGACGATGCATCAATATCAATATTTTGGAAGTTGCTTTAAAGATGACGATTGCCGAAACAGTTGTTTCCAATCTTGCAAATTCCTAAAATGTTCAAATCATGAATGTGACTGCCAACAATGTTAGAAACCATGCTATGCATTTTTTAGGTTATAATAATTTTTTCTTTGATAAATTAAAACAAGTTATCTTAAAATAAAATAAATAAATAAATAAATAAAATTTCTGTTTAAAAACAAAGTAAAGCATTCAACTGCAAAATCTTTAATCATACATTTGTTTAAAAAATGTCGTTATTTATTGCGGATTCCTATTGACCAATTTTTTTTTTGGTGTTATAAAATTTTTGGTATTTTGATTTTCCTAATAAATTTCAGCTTTAGAAAAAAAATAACGCAACTTCAACATATTTTGGGTCCAAACTTCATTTATTAGTCATTCAACTATTTAAGTCATATGGCAATATTTATTTAATTAATTGTACATTTCTATTTTCTAGTGTTATTTGTTTTTGTGGAACATTAGCGACAATGAGACATGCATGTTTTCCTCTCTCAAGCCTCTAGGGAATACCATCTAGACATAAAATGGTGTTACAACAAATTGAACCCTTAGTTTTAAGTCAAATGTCAAACAAAATATACACGATATAAATACCATCAACAGCCAAAAGAGCAACTGGTGAAATTCATTCACTTGTGTATGTGATGTATCTTGATCTACTGAAACGAAAAATCAAACAAGCTTAGATTTAACCTACAACCGCTGGAGTATCCAGTATGGAGCGTATAGCTCCTTCTTGGATAGTACCTAGTAGATTGAAAATTAAATGAAATCTTATATTTTAAATTAATATTTGGTAGAAAACTCTAAAAAAATAAGTTGAATAGAATTATGTTAAAACAGAAACAATTTGAAATAAATATTATGATTATTTTAAATGTAATATTAATAACTTACTATTTTCTAAAGATATACTTCTATATGAAACAAAAATTCAGATTGATCAATAATAAGTATTTAGTCTAAATTTAATATTGAAGTTATATATATTTAAATGAATTTAATTTAAAACTTGTTTTTAATATTGAGATTAGTGTGATACCGTTGACGAAGATTTTTTATTTTGTTTCTAAGTCAAACAATAATGCGTTGGCTACCATGCATTTTTTCTCTGCATTTTATTCTTCTAAATTACTTTTTAAAACATATTTTTATTTCATGCTAATACTGAAATTAGTGTGATATCTATTTTCCTTTTATTTCTACTAAGTTATTTCCTGCGCTATGCTGCATGTGATTTTGTTTTTTATTTATAGGTTGATGTCAATGTGATGAACTTTTGATTTCAGGTTTATAATTGTAATTTTGGATATTACTGTTATTTCAAATTTAATTATAGCTAATATTTTTGCATATATATTTATATTTTTGAGTATTTCAGATATCCATTCGGGATTTTGTTCTCATTTAGTTTTGTTGACATTCTCACATTCTTTCTTTCTCTCACTCAGGTTTGTTTTCTTTCTCTCTTTCTCTCTTTACTCTTTTCTTTTGTTTCTCCTTACTTTCTCTCTCTCACACTCTCAATCTCTCTAGTACTCTGTTTCACTCTTTGTTTGGTGTTTGGTTTTTCTAAGTGATAACAAGATGAAACTTAGAGAGAAAAAGCTTTAAAGACTACATTTTGATATTGATCCAATCGATGCTTTTTTTTACAAAACACAACACACATATATAGTAGTTTTCTCTAACTACTACTTCTTAACTTCCATCATTCAGACACCTTAACTCTAATACCTAGGCTATCATACACAAGCCACACTACACTCACTTAGACTTCCAGCTACTTATCTTAATACTTTAACAACTACCATTTAGCTATTACAACAACTCTGACTTAGGCTTCTCTATGATTTCCGATTGCTGAACAAGTACAAGAAGTCAAATGGAACGATGAACTCACTCTTGCGAGTAATGCTAGAATTAGCAGCGCCGGGAAGCTAAGTTGGTATGGAAGAACTGCTGCTTAGCGGAAAATCCTTCTCTAGGCAGACACTTCCAAAAGGCGGAAGCATGAGGTAAATGCCTCCCAGCCAGGGGGCGGATCGAATCGGAGTTTCCTTACACACACACAATCGATCATTGACCAGCTTCTTCTTCTTCGACGACAATCTGTTGTTCTTCTTGAGCTTGCTTGCTTTTCTTCTTTCTTTTCCTTTTCACCAATATTTGCTTTTTCTTCTTGTTGAAGATTCAATCAAGGATTTCAACTTCAACAAGTTTTAACCATCCATATATTTATGACTGTCTGTTTAGTTCTCTTCCTCATATATAATTCGATCTGGTTTTGGGTTTTGGGTTCTAAAGAAGTCTGCTCTAAAAGTCAAACTTTTGGTCAATTGCAAAAATAACTTTTTCTTCTCGCAGACTGCAAGAAGAAGTCTACTACGAAAAGTCAAATATTTGGTCAAATGCAAAAATAACTTTTTTTTCTAGAAGACTTCAACGTGAAATTTTCCCAGCGGACTTTGAACGGATGTCTGCATTTTTTAAAATTTTTAAAATGCAATTTTATAAAATATTTGTAATGTTTTTTTAAATTTTTTAAAATTGTAAATGCATTTTAGGTATGATTCTTGCACCTGTATGAGTTTGATGTGTTTATGTGTTATAAATATAAAGTTATGAATTTTCTTGATTTAAAAGGTAATTAGCACATCTAAGCAGACTTCTAAAAGAAGTCTGTAGATAAAGTCTGCTGTTACGTATTAGCATATCATAGCAGACTGCATAAGAAGTCTGCCTAATTATTTTTTTTTTAAATTCATTTTTGAAATATTTGTTACTTGTAAAAATGATTTTTTTGTCTTGACATGTTTATTTGTTTTTTATGTTGCATCTATATGAGTTTGACGTTGTTATGTGTTATAATTACAAAGTAATGAATTTTCTTGTTTGATTTATCTATTTTTGCAGACTTCTAAAGAAGTTTAGAAGTCTACTTCCTTTCAATTATTTTTATTTGTTATTGTTCTTGCATTTGTATAAGTTTGAAAAATCAGTTATTCTTGCATTTACCTGTCATGGTTTGTCCTCAACTTTAACTATTGGCCACTTTTGTTAACGGTCTTGATATTATATAAATTACTTTATTAACGCGTACAATGTTAACAAACTCTTGTGGTCTGGTGGAAACAGACCCACTTGTTGCCCAAAGTACGTGGGTTCGAACCATTATGCTTCCAATTTTGGTTATTCTTTTTGTTTTTAAAAAGGGCATAATTGTAAAAAAACTTTCGTCTTCTATCTAGGTTTTTCGAGTTCTGCAACTCTTTTTCGTGGCCGCAAGCCAATTTTTTCACATAATCAGTCAGTTTTTTGCATTATTCTTATTATTCACACCTAAATCTTATAGATCTGGCATACATATATTGATTTCAAGTCTTAAACGAAGAAAAAAAAAAGAATTTTTAAAGAATTTGATTTCAAGTCTTCAACGACGGCCGCTTTTTGTTTTCAAGAGCTTTCGACTTTGCCTGCTTTTTCCTCTTCTTTGGAGGTTGGATTTCCAACGGATCAATCTCCCCAAGAAATTCTGACTCCCAATCCAAATCATCCTCTTCTTCTTCTTCTTCTTCGAGTTCTTCCTCTGAGTTACCAATCACATACGAGTTCTGAACAATACAGAAACAATGACAATACGAGGACATACAAGCAGCTTAGAAACCAGTGCAACCTTATCCAAAAAACCTTTGACACCATACGAGCATCATGAGTCGCATACAAATGAAGACTAAATCAATAAAAGCAAACAACACAAGAACTCATTTGACCTAATCAATTCCAGATTTATATGAAATCAGAAAACCGAAATTTCCCAGAACTAACCAGAGAAAGAGGAAGGTGCTCGAGTGAGCCCGTACGGCGATTCAAGGAAGTCCTCTGCGCGTCTGGAGCAAGAAATCGATTCTTCTTATCAGGGAGAGGCCATGTCCCTGGAATGGGACCAAAGAGCGTGTAAGGCTATAATAGCTAAAATTGATTAAAAAAACAACTAATAAAAGAGGAAATGAAGGTGAGCGACCTGCTACGAAGGAGGAGGAGAATGTGAGATGGAGATGGCGGCGACTGTGGTTAACGATGCGGTGGCGTAGCCCCGGTGGACTGAGACAGAAGCACCGCCACAGTGGAATTACACACTCCATCTTCTGTAATCGGAGAAATTTTGATAAGTGAACGAAGAACATAGCAAAAATGAAGAGCAGCAAGAAAGAAAGAGGATTACAGCAACAAAAAAATGCAGCGCCGTTTTTGGAGAGAGGGATCAAAGTGGAGAGTTTCTGATTTAGGGTAAAATCTCATTTATATAATAGGGCAAAAATATCCGGTTATATCTAGTTAGGTTAATTATTTCCGGTTTAAATCAATATTTTATTTTAATTTCGTTTACGGTTTGAGCAGACTTATAAAGAAGTCTACAACCCCAATTTAGAATTATTCACTTTTGATGTTTATCTTAGATGGTTTAAAATGATTCATTTTTATTAAATTATAATTTATATAGATCATACTTGTTGATATTTGATTTATAGAAACAAATTTCAGTTTAAATTATTTTTATATAATTTTAAAATTTAAATATAAGATTTAATAATATAGTAGACTTCTTTATAAGTCTGCTCTGCAGACTTCATTAATATTTGCAGACTTCGCAGGGTTAAAATCGTAATAGAGCCTTCCGTTTTTTTGTTTACTCATGTAGGAGATAATAGTAATTTCTCTACCCCTTTGACCTATTTTTGCAATAGGTTGAATTTGGGGTATACTTTTGCATTTGCATTCAAATTGTGGCCTATTTTTAGCAATTCCTTTTTTTTTTAACATAAATACTCTATACGTTACAAAATACATAATAGAGTAGATATTTAAGTTTGTGTAATTATATTGATTGGGGGATTTATGATTAAATTATATTTAATAGTGAATTGCAAATTATATTGATGGATAGCAAAATATTTTTTTTAAATATATTTAATAATGTATCTACATATGTATTTTGCTGTATTAAAAATGGAAGAGTATTTTGTTCAAATAGGCCAATTAGACTAATAAAGAGAAAATGA